GAAAGGGCAAAATGATTTCAGTTTGTCAAAGCAATACACACTGGGATTGCCTTGTCATCACAGAGCATTGCTGTGAAATCTCATCTGTAATCTCATGAGATCTCAGGGAAAGGCATTTTCCTCCCCTGAGATGATGTGCATGGTCACATGTCCTAGTCACATGTCTAGTCACATGTGCCAGAAATCCAGGAAGTAAAAGGAGAGCTAGTAACCTGCCCTTAGTAAACATGGCCACTGTCAGAAGACTGGGGAAGAAAAGAGAAATAAGGAATGCAAAGAATACAAAGCCGGCAATTACCTAGAAGTATCTGTTTGTAGATTGTCATTACTAAACATTTCTAAAGGTGTGCTTGTTGTTATTTTAAAGATATGGGTAAAGGTCCTCTTTAAGGTAGACTGAGCACAATTTTTGACTAGCCGTACAAAGTTTTCTGGAGGACGTGAAGAGTAAAATTTTTTTTATTGCCTTGTCTCACAGAGGGACCTGAATGGATCTTAAATCCCGACAATCACTCATGGGGCTGATTCATTCAAATGGAGAATCAAAATGAGAAAAACATTGCTGTCCATAGTAACTAATGATAGATCTTGTTTCATCTTAATATTAAAGTAATAATAAACTGTCAAACTTTTTTTCAATAATGAGTCCAGATTGAACAAATACACATCGTCCAGCAAAGTATTTCTTTACATTTTTGCTCAAAAACTTACAGTCATCGTGTTTCTGAACAGCTCCAACTCTCTCAATTCCTCTTTCCTGAATTTCTTGTCCAATACAAGATCACAAGCGTCAGCATAGTCTCCAGGAGCCATCCATCTACTAGCCTGAACATGAAAGGAGGGAGGAGGAAGGGAGCAGGGGAATGTCTTGTTTTGCTGTGCCTGTGTGTTTGTGGGGGCACACAGCTTATTAGCACACACAAGGTTGGTTCCATAGGACCCTGCAAGGGAAAGGAGTCACCCTAAAATAGGATATCAGGACCAGTGCTCAGAGGACCAGCTGATTCTGCAGGAAACAAAAACTGTTAAACAAGAAGGAGCAGCGTCCATTGTAAGTGATTTATTCAGCTAAAATAGCTTTGACATCTTTAGATATATGAAACCTTACTGGTCAGTTTGGGGCAGCTCCACTTTTTCCCATTTTCTAATCTCCAGTTTTAATGACTCAGACACATGTTGTTCACTTCTTTCTTTATACAAAACTGTCCACCGGTAACAATGCCTTTTGACTTGCTCCAGACAGTAGAACCATACCGGTTATGGTGAGGAGGGACTAAAGGTCCATGGGAGCCTGAGACGATGAGGGGGACTCTCCTGCTTCTCCAATCCAAGCACTCCTGGGTAGTGGGACAGAGAGTGCAGGGGTGAAGGAGTGGCACATGTCCCCGTGGGTGATGATGTCACTGGAACTTATGCGTGCAGATGTCTCAGGGTTGGAGGCGACAGTAGATCACCAACGAGAAGAGTCCAGGAACAAGCTAGGTTTAGTAACAGTTGGGCGAGACGCTACCAATACGTCAGGCAGAGACGTAGTCAGGGATGGGCTGGATCAGCAACTTGAGTGCAGCATGGCACCAAAGTGGCGGGCATTTATTGAAGTCAGGGCACAACACAGGAGCAGAACAGCAAACTGAAGAGAGCCACAGAAGAGTCAAGGGACAAGCTAGGCGAAGCAACAGTTGGCCATATACGTCTCTACCAATACATCAGGCAGAGACATAGTCAGAGATGGGCTGGGTCAGCAACTTGAGTGCAGTGTGGTACCATAGTGGCAGGCATTTATTGAAGTCAGGGCACAACACAGGAGCAGAACAGCAAACCGAGGAGAGCCACAGAAGAGTCAGGGGACAAGCTACGTTTAGCAACAGTCAGGCATATCTCTACCAATACATCAGGCAGAGACGTTGTCAGGGATGGGTTGGCTCAGCAACTTGCGGGAAACGTGATACCAAAGTGGCAGGTGTAACTGAAGATGGGGAACAACACAGGAACACAGAGGAGCAAACCGGGGAGAGCCACAGGAGAGTCAGAGAACAAGTCGGCTCAGCAACGGAAGATCAGATGTACAGAGTACAGCTGAAGATCTCACGGCACTGGAGTCCTTCTGGTCTCAGCCTTATATAGCCCTCTTGGAGCTTTTTTTGAACATGCACGCATGCCTATGCACACGGCGCAAGACATGCACTCAGATGCCTGGGCACGGATGCACTAGGTGCTGCTGCCTGATCCTCCAGACAAAATAATTCAAGTGCTGTACTAGGGTACAGCACTTCTTAAAGCCTTCTTAAAACAAAAGGTATTCTAATGTCTCATCCCATCACATATCCTAAAAATGAAAGGATTATTCCTCATTTCAGGACAATGGGTGGAGTCATGCAAATCATTGCCCTACTCCATAGAAGCCATTGTTTCCATACACTGCACTGATGATGGCCAAAACAGAAGAAACAGCTGTATGCGGTTTGGCATAAATGGCTCTATATTAATAAGATTACATTTGCACTATACACCTGCTGGATGTGCATCTGGCCAATGAGGTGTAAAGGGATGATTTGCTTGGTTACGCCCACTGTCCATATATGAGGAATAATCAAATTTTTGGGATATGTGATGGAATAAGACGACTCTACAGTGCTACGGCGCGCTCCAGATAAAGGCTCTCTGTTGCCCTCTGCTGCTGGAAAGTGTTTCTCCTTGTGGCATCCTAGATGATACTTGAAGAAGAAGATCTCTGGATGATATAAAAAGAAGAATCCATGTATAATAGAAATGCTGATACAAATATGTCACTGTCTTCTTACGGTGCTGCAGCAATCCAATGAATGGACAAGGAAAAGGATTTGTACAATCCTGTACTAAGTCATTCAAGGCCATGTGCTGTGCGATCTTGTACAAATTATCTGTAGACGTTTGGAACGCAGAAACACATTTGGAACGTACAATGCTGTACCGGAGTATTGTTTTTCTCTTGTTTTTGTATGGCCACATATACACCATAATATAAATAGGGCCCCCAAAATGTGGTTGTGCAGGCAGAGCCATACACAATATTTAAAAAATCAACAGCAACCTGCGCATAGAAGAACCCCACGATTCAGGTCATTGAGGGGGTGGGATGGGGGTGAGGGTCATGTTGAGACCATGTTTCATGTTTCCCTGAATATGGGTGTAACATGTAATATGAACAGAAAAATAATAACTGGTTGCCATTAGTCCACGTTTCCCGGGCACAGTCTCCATTTTGATGGGTCTGTCCTCGGGAAATAGGGGTCCCCAGTTGTCCAGTGTTGCAGTGTGGACATGTCACTGATGAAAGGCTTAAGCCTGAGCTGGCCAGTGGCAGAGCAGAGGTGGGGGGAGACAGCAAAGTGGCTTTACTGCGAGGGAAGAAAAAAAAGAGTACGATTCTGTGCATAAGGGGAGAGAGCCGGGTGTAACGGCCGCACCGCTGCATATTGTGACGCTGCACCACGACTTATTTTTGCTGCACCGCGAAGCAAAGCATCATAGCAAGGGATGCACCAATACCTATACTAGTATCAGTGCCAATACCGAGTATTTGGGCGAGTACTCCTACTCACCCAAATGCTCCAGATACTTATCCCGATACCAGAACTTCCAGTATCAGGATGCAGGGCGGCAAGTCATTACATGCGCACAGCTTCCTGATTGCCTGGGAAGCCGGCTCCATGCTCCCTTCTCACCAGAGAGCATGGGGCTGGCTTCCTGGCCAATCAGGAAGCCAGAGGGCGGGTAATGAATCACCCCCCCCCCCCCGGCTTCCTGATTGGCCAGGAAGCCGGTTCCATGCTCCCTCATCACCGGGGAGCATGGAGCTTACTTCCCGGCCAATCAGGAAGCAGGGCGGCGTGTAAGTGACTCGCCCGCCAGCTTTCTTGATTGGTCAGAAAGCCGACTCCATGCCTCCTTGTCCCCGGGCGGCGAGTCTTATGCACCAGGATTAGCCAGGAACATATTTGTTATATTTTCAAAACGTGATGGTTATTTTTAGTCCAATTACACTCTGAAAATGACAGTAAAGTGGAAGTTAAGTCATTTTTAAAATAAAATTGGGATTAGTTGGGTTTCTATGGCACAGGGGACTGTTGAAGTCTCTTCTGCCATAAATGCTTCTTTCTATCTTTTAGACATTTATCTTATGTCTATACGATGAGCCACGCTTGCGCAGCTCAGCGCACAGACGCAAGATGCCGAGATGGAGTAACTTTTGTGCGCATGCGCGGGAGTTACTTCAGGCAGGCTGGCCAATCAAGAGGCGGAAGATGCCAACCATGGAGGAGAACCGAGCTGAAGTGCTGGCGCTGGAAGGGATTGTTTTTGCAGATAGGTCAGCCATAATGTGTTTATATGCTGTGCACATTATGGGGGGGGAATTATTTATATAGTGCTGACAATTAACACATTGCATAGTGGAGCAGAGAGAATCTGGAGCAGTTGCTTTTTTTCAATCTGTTCAATTAAGCTTTAAAAACGAAAGCTAGAAGCCGATTGGTTGCCATGGACAACTGCTTCAGACTCTGCCCAATTTTTATAAATTCTCTAAAGCTTAAAGCTCGTGTTTTTTTGTAAGTCACTTTTATACCCTTATAAGAGATTAATAGAGAGCCCAGTGTGTTGCACTGCTGATTAGGGTTCAGGAATCTCTCCTTTTAGTGACGTATTTATAATTGCAAACAAAACACATCTAACAGAGTCAGCATGAACAACCCTCCCCAAGCCTCAGAGACAGTGCAGTCTACTGCGCATGCGTACTCTACATATACGGCTGCAGCATGGAGATTCGTCGTGTACCTGGAGGAAGAAAAGGGCGGGGTTTACAGTGTCCGCTCCCTCTCTTAATACGCCTGCCTCCCTCTCCAGATCACTTGACAAAGCTCCATGCTTCCCGCTGCTTGGCTCAGCACTGGCGGGGTGTTTGAAGACCGGAAGTGACGCCATGTATGTGTTGAGGGAAACAGACACTGCACTAGCTGCTGCTAACCGGCTGTAGAAGAGGAGAACAGGGGACAGGTATGGCAGATATCGCCTTCACTGCTTGAGTAATAAGCCATAACTATGATGTGGGTGGTGTTGAGAACAACAAGTCCCAGCGTGCTGTGGTAACATGTAGGAAGTTGGGGGAGGGGTGCTGGGCACCTAACAATTGTGTTATAAACAGGCATGTCTGTACTAGCTGAGCGTGCATGGTTATACAGTGAGGGGACACCCTTGGCTGGGATGATGGTGATTGTCATGGAAAATCCCCTTTGATTGGTGGGTGATGGGATGTCTGCCAACTACGAGAAGTGTTTGTGCTTGTAGATCTGGGGCCTCTGTTAAAGAAGAACTTCACCTGGCACAGGGAAGACTGATAGGCAGTGGCTACAAGTACCGTAGTTGTTGGCTCTTAAAAACACTTACCAGCCTATGAAGTCTCCTTCTCCCCCATTCTTTGCCGGTCTGCTGATATTGTGTCCGCCATATTGGTACCAGTGCTGAGCCTCCACTAGTCTGCTGCTGTGTCTGCTCATGCCCTTGTTGCATGTCAACATGACATTATTTTTGGCCAGGAAGGGGTTCATAGACATTTTTAGTATAATAACACACTGTGTATAATCTCTACTTACATTTTAATGCCCCCTGTTTGCAGCACACAGGATTCATGACTATTGTACACTGAAAACATGAAGAGGAAAGTGGCCAAAGTTGCCCCGCTGCGGCTCAGTCCAAATGAAGAAGCTTTAATACTGAAAGAGGAACGGGAGAGGAGGCGGAAACTACGGCTACAGCAGGTGACCTAGCATTCCACAATATAAACTCAAAGCAATGGTTTTGACGAGTTTCTTATGAGCAAAAACGTAGTGCCCAATTTATAACGGCGGACCCATGATCCCTGTCTGCTCCCTGTTAAGCCTGTGACACACTGCGCGAAGGGCCAGCGGAAGATGCAGCATGGGGACCTTCGCATGCAGTGTCTCTTGCAATTTTCGCTCTGGTGCGCCAGCTTGCAAGAGCTCGCAGAGTTGACCGTACCGAGATGAAAAATTGTATCTTCAGTAGGGATGCACGGATACTGGCATTTTGGTACCGATACTTCTTTTTTCTCGGTACTCGCAGATACCAATTACTGAGTACCTGAAGTCCCATTTAGGAAGCCATGTGGCGTGTAATGACTCGCCACCCGGCTTCCCGATTAACAAGAAAGCCGCCCCATAATAATAATCATATGATTCAGCATGTCTCTGCAGTGCGGATCTCTGTCCCCTCTCACCTCAGCATGTCCAGCCTGTCACCCCCGGGGCCTCTCCAGCCAGGAGCGGCCTTCCTCCGGTACCCAGCCGGAGCCGTCTTGCTGGCCAATCATGGAAGCTGGGTGCCGTGTAATGACGCGGCACCCTGCTTTCTGATTGGCCGGGAGGCTGGCCCCATGCTCTCTTGTCATGGGATGACGAGTCATCAATTAGAATGCAAGGCGCTGCGTCATTACACAGCGCCCGGCTTCCTGATTGGCCAGCTTCCCTACCAATCAGGAAACCGGGAAGCGCCTCATTACGTTACAAGTGACGAGAGAGCATGGAGCCGCTTCCCGGCCAATCAGGAAACTGGGCAGCGTGTAATAATGTGCTGCCCGGCTTCCTGATACATGAAGTATCGGGCTAGGCATCGGAGCATTTGGGCGAGTACGAGTACTCACCCAAATACTCGGTATCGGCACTGATATCGATACTAGTATCGTGCATCCCCAATCTTCAGCTAATTAGTATAAACCCGCTTGTCAGGATGCAAGGTCTATTGAGTTGTTACGAGTGAGCCGATTCTGGCCGCGTTCAGCTACTCGAGCTCTCTCACACTGCAGTGTGTCATGGGCTCAATGTTTCGGTGAGTAGCCAGCGGAGCCTTATGTACTTCTGTTTAATGCTGCAGAGAGAGAGTGTTCCAAGACTGGTGAGCTGGTCATGTGATTTTTTGCCAGGTCACGTGACCGGTCTTTGGACTTTCATTTTATTTTACTAGTCCACTCAATTTCATTGTGATTCGCCGACTTTGTTTTGAGAGTTCAATCCCCTTTGTAAAGAAGATTGCTGTGTTTTTTAAATGTACGATGCTTTGTCTTCTTTTTTTTTTTTTTTAAAGGAGAAGCATTGGGAGAGTAAAATGTACTCTTCCCGATTTATTTAGAGCCGGCGTGTGACATTGCAGCTGTTGCACGCTGGCTCTTTAGTTCAAGATCAGTAATCGCAAACCGCTGTTCACTCAGCTTGCGGCTTCTCGACTGTCATTCACTGCTTTCGGCAAGGGTTCTCCCCTCTCTGTTCCTCCAGTGCTCATTGGGGGGACGGGAGGGCGTGGGCACAGCTGGCTCTAGAGAGGCAAAGCCAGCTGTCAATCAGGTAGAGGGGTGGATCCCAATAATGTCAGAATCCTTCCCAGCTGTAGTGCGGCTCTGTACTGTCATTATATAGCGGCATATATAGTAAATCTCCTCCTGTGACCCAAAAGAGAACTAAAGCCAAAAAAGGTTTTGTTCTCTGAAAGTGGGTCCTTAGTCTCTAAAGGCAGAGCTGTAAAGATCTGACACATATATAACCTATTAAGGGAACACCCCACCAAAAAAATAAGTGCCATTTAACTGCCAAACAAGGCATTTTGTAATTTAAAAGGACAAGTTCAGTTTTGATATAACAAGATGAGCAGCGCTAGGAGTTCAATTTAGCTGTATCTCACACAGGTGGCAGTGATTGAAACAAAAATAGTGTTTCCTTAACACATTACTTATATTAGATACTGCACATGGTTATTTGATTCACCTACTAGCGCTGTTAATTCGGTTTAAACAAGTTCAGTTTTGCCTAAACTAATTTTGTAATTTGGCTCGTACCTCACATTCAGTGCCAATAGACATACTTACCCCTCACCACTTTATCCCTAAAACACATTTGTTCTTTGATGCATTTTTAAATGTAAATCTTATGTTGCTGCTTGAAAAACTTTGTTTCTATGTATAGTTTGCCATTAACTTGAAGGCAGCCATATTTGCTTATTGCACATGTGAGCTGTGCTTTCTGCTTGGCGTTGCACATTGCTCATAAAATGTTACATGGTGTCTGACGGAAAGCAGTAGACTCTGGTCTCTTATATGAAGTGCTCGTAATACTGCCAGCCAGAGATCACGTGGTCCAGTCTGCCTAGACATTAGGCGACATGAGAGCTCAGAAGCAGTGGGGGCAGGGCCAGTGCAAGGATTTTTGCCTACACGGGCGAAGGTGCAGCCATGCCATTGTCAAAAAACAGTTTGGTCTGTTTTTAGAAGGCACCTTCCATTGTGAGAAACCAGCTCTCTGACAAGAGCCAAGCAGTCGCTTTTGCAAACCCTGTGGGTGTCCGAAATATCCATTAGCATCGCAACAGTCAGTAAATGTAACGCAGAGTGCAGAGGTCAGTAAATTTAACGCAGAATGCAGAGGTCAGTGGTGTGTCACACTGCGCGGAGGCTTACAGTACACGTAGATCATTGATGTTCTGATGATGCATCTAGACCTTGACCTGCTTGTAGGGTAGCGCCGGCTCTGAGTGGGGGTAGATGTGCTGTATTAACCCCTCGCCATCCCCTCATTGTAAAAATGCGGACGGCGGATGCTTTCTGGTGGGAGGACGTACATTTATGTGATTCTTTTTTTTTTTTCCTGCTCACGTGCGCGCCCCCAAGTGGGCTAGCTCGAGCAGAATCCTGCGGGAAGGTAAATGGCCGTTACCGGCTGTTGTATACAAGCATTCGGCCGGCTGCTTGTATAACCCTGCATTGTGCTGACGTACCCCCTCTGCAGCTGGTTGTTCCGGGCACCGCTGTCCCCCCTACAGTGTCAGGGACCGAGAGCACCGCCACAGCGGCTTTCTGTACAGAGAAGGAGAGGTCAGCATTCCCCCACCGCTGATCTCTCCTCCTCTCTCTCTAAAGGCAGAAGCAATGACTATTGCATCAATTCCACCTTTAGCTGTAATTTCTCTGGCTTAGAGCCAGAGAAGAAGCTGATGAAGCAGACCTCTGCTTCTCTGGGGGTCCCTAGGTGACATTAGGGGTCTTGGAGACCCCTGATGTCTCCATAAAGAGGACCTGTCATTGTTTTTTTGGCTATCACATAGGGGGATTTTTAGACCCTACGTGATGGCAATCAAGTTAAGAGTGAAAAAAAAGTCTCATTAAAAAAAAACACACCCAAAGAAGCTTCAAGTCCCCCACGTGGATGCACTTAGAAACATAAATACGCGTCAGATGCACCTACGTGCAAAAACACCGCACATGTTGTATATCGCCGCGAACGCCACTAAACTGATGAGCATTAAAAGTGTCGCCTATGGCCAATTTTAGGTATGGTAGTTTTTTTGCGATTTTTGTGGGCGCACACAATTTTAAAGCTTGGCATGTTTGGCGTCTGTTTACCCAATGTGACTCCCAACTTTATTTTTTACCCAAAAAATTGAGTGCTGATATATAGTTAGTCAGGTTAAAAAAAAAGACACATCGAGTTCAACCTATAGAGAAATATGTTTTATAACAACGTAGGGAATACATTTTTTTTGTACTTTTTTTTTCATTATATAGTAAAAAAATAAAACCCCCCAGTGGTGAAAAAATGGCCTGGGTAGGAAGGGGGTTTAACCCCCCTGGTCAGCAAGTGGTTAATAATATTGAAGCATTGCACTGATATGAGAAGTAAGACATGGAAAACCTGCGATTTGGCTGCATGAGTGTGATTTTGTAGAAGACTTCACTGGGCTGAAATGCTAAAGACATTTTTTAAGATCTAGCTCTGGAAAGTTGTCTGATTCCTTAACCAGAGACCCAGATTTATCATTTGTCAGCGTCTACCTTGTTTTTAGATTATAAGGAGCCTCAGAGAAGTTTGTGACTCTGCATGGCTGTCTAGGGTGCCACACACACTCGCAATGCTTGACCCTTTTATCATGGCGTCCAAAGGCTGGAATCGGTCTCTCCCAGCCAGACAGATTTTTAATCTGTTTTGGAAAATAAACGTTTGAATCATTTACTATGATTTGCTTTTTAGACAGATCATCCCTCAGTTTTATCAGCACTGACAGGTACACTTTAAGCCAGTTACTGGATTGTTGATTTAAGTTGCCAGGCGTGCTAATTGGCTTCTGTCTTGTAGGTCAGAGAACAGGAGAAGTTTATCGCCCAGCAAATCCGCCAGGATGTCAAGGAGCGGAGAGATCAGCAGCTCCAACAGTTGGCAGAGGAGCTGAGAGCCAAATGGGAAGCAGACCAGGCTGAGAAGCTGAGAGCTCTGGAGGAGGCGTATCTGTCGGCACTGAATGCCATAGGAGAGGGACATCGGCAGGCCAAGGAAAATGTAAGACTCGCCCCCTACTGTGGAAATGGTAACAGGACTTGGGGAGCCTATTTATAAAGCAGTGTCTGACTTTCACCAGACATCCTCTAATGGTAAAAAAACAAAACATGTCATTTTAAAATACATGCACCAGCAAGATTTAGCTGCAGTGAATGTTTGGTGAATACCAGACTCGCTGCTTTATAAATCTACCCCTTAGTGATTTTTAATGCTGGCGTATTAAAGTGTATAGAGAACCCTATAGACAGTCTGCACTGCATTTAGCAGCCAATCAGATGAAAGTAAGGATCTGATTAGACGCTGTCGGTGAACCTTTAAGACTGCCCCATACTCTTACTCATTATTTCATTGGATATCGCTGATGAGTTGGAGTATCTGGTTGCATGATAAGCAAGTAGGCATGGCATGTAGAGCTGCAGCTAACGATTATTTTCAAAATCGATTAGTTAGCCGATTATTAAGTTCGGTTAATCGGATAAACAATAAAAAAAAAAAAATGGCTCCAGTGATGGACTATGAGAGTATTGCACAAATGGTGTTTTGTTTTCTGAATGCTCTGGAGTTTTAGCCGGGGTGCTGAATTATCTTATACAGATTTGACCAAGTATGGAAGAGCAGATTGCATATATCTACTGCTAGCAAGCAGTAGATATTATGCAAAAAGTGTAAAATAAAATTTAAAAAAAACCCCGCTTTGAAAAGGGTTAATACTCACCTGTGTCTTCCCCGCGCTCCCGTCCGAAAATGTGAAAATTCTGGGGCGGGCGCATGCGCAGATCACATTCTCGGCCAGGAGATGAGGAGAGGCACAAGGTAAGTCTATGGACGCGTGCACCCGCATGCAGACACCGTGGGAGAGGAAGCGCCAGCAAGGACAGAGGAGTCAGCGCTGGATTGCAGCACTGGAGGGACAGATGAAAAGGACAGGAAAGATCAGATTAAGAGACATCATTTTAAGGTAAGTGCTTTAATTAACATTGGGGGGAGGGGGAAACATTTGTGACTTTAATGTTACTTTAATACCCAACTCAAGGGAAAGGAAAAGTTTTCCCTTGCAGTGGGGCCGCCCCTGTACTGCAGGGGTAACTCCTCATTTATGCCTAGGGGGGTAGAAAAAAAGTTTAGTTACCTGATCCCCGCTCCCCCCTCCACTCTGGCTGTGGACTGTCGTAGTGTCCTCATGTACAATGTGGAACTAGGAGGCCTGCATTGTATTTGGTGACGTCAGCAGTCTTTAGACCAGGGGTCTCAAACCTCCGGCCCTCCAGCTGTGGTAAAACTACAGATCCCATGATGCATCTCTCTTCGGGAGTCGTGGCTGTGAGAATATTGCAATGCCTCATAGGATTTGTAGTTCCACCACAGCTGGAGGGCCAGAGGTTTGAGACCCCTGCTTTAGACCGTCGAAGGGCAGAGGCGGCTCCAGGGACTGGTCTAGCAGCCCAGAGGAATCCAGCAGGAGAGGGGGGGTCAGGTAAGTAAAACTACTTTTTCCTGTCTCCTAGGCATACACGAGCAGTTACCCTATGCAGCATGGAGTCAGACCCACTGACAGGGGGACATTAAAGGAAAACTCCACTCCAGTTTTAGAGGTCTTGTCCCTAACCCAAGCCTGCGACTGGGCAGTGAAGGAGGAGTTGCACACTGATGAGCTGATATCTCTGTCACTATCCTCATGCTCCTTGTTAGCACTGCAGCACAAGAGATTGGTTCCTTGTGTTTCTCCCTCTCTCCGCTCTGCTAAACAGGAAAGGCAAAAGGCTCAATAAATCTAATTCAGATACTTAAATTGTATGCAAATTTATACATTTCATGATTTATCAAGAGCTGCATTCATTGAAGGGGATTTATCAAAACTGGAGCCGACATTCTGGCACAGCTGTGCATGGCGACCAATCAGCATCCACCTTTCTTTTTCAACTCTTAAGTGGACAAACTGAAGAGAGACGCTGATTGGTTGCTATTCTGTTACAACCACCGCTTTATGTATTTGCACATACCTTCTTGAGACTGTCTGTACGGGCAGTATGACAACCTACTGACTTGGTGATATTCACAGATAGTGTCCAACTCGATAAGTCTGACAGTATAATTCAATGTAGTTTATTTACTATGTCCATACAGAGGATGTGATTCTTTGTCATTCCTATCTTTGCCATTAAAGGGTTACATAGCCACCTTGCCTCTTGAGAAGGTGGTGAGGAAAGAAAGATTAGAGAACATTGCTGGGAAATTTAGCACAAGACTGTACCAATATACAGAAAACAGCAGGGGTGAGACGGAAGATGCCAAGTGTGCACATATTAACCACTTGCCGTCCGCCCGTAGTAAAAAAAACGGACGGACGGCACTGCAGCATTTGTGGGTTGCCGTCTCCAGACGGCAATTTTTTTTCTGCTCGCACGCGCCCCGTAGCGTGCACGCACGGGCAGAAAAGACCCGACTATTGCACACACCCGTTACCGGGTGTTTCACATATAGGCGATTAGCGGCTCCATAGCCCGCCGATCGTCTATATGTGCTCGTTGGGTAATAATAAATGTTTTATCATTTAATATAGGGGAGACTTTTTTTTTTTTACATTTCGGTAATTTTTCCTTAATATAGTAAAAAAAAAAATACCACCAAAAGAAAGCTCTATCTGTCCCCAAAAAAGGGTATAAAATTCATTTCAGTACAGCGTTGCATGACGGAATAAATGTCAGTGAAAGTACCGCAGCGCTGAATACTGAAAAATGGCCTGGATGGGAAGGGGGTTTAACACCGCGGATGTCAACTGGTTAAGCTGTAACAATGCTAATCTTACACTTGTAGTCAGAATACAGCATAGCACAGTAAAATACAGTTAGATAGATATGCAGTGTAACTGAAACAGCGGAAATCCGGAAAATGGCACTGGATGTGGCGGCACAGTTGCCATTCACAGCTGCTCCAGATTTTGTCTGCTCTAGTTTTGATAAATTCCCCCCATTGTGTCTTTTATATCGGCCTGGATTTCAGCTTTAAAGTTTCTTGCTTTGCTTGCATCTCCAGACTTCTTTTGCAGTTTACATACGTGTTCTGCTTTTTGCTCATGGTTTTCCTCTCCTTTTCATCTTCTGTACTCATTTGGCCATACACCTTCAGAGATGCAGTGCTTCTGTTATTACAGTATTAGGTCTCTTAGCAGGGAGACCCTCCTTCTAGGAAGTCATCGTTTTGTGGAAGTCACTGCAGCGGTCTGTCTCAGGGTCTCCAGAACCCAAGCAGGTAAAATTCCTCAAAGGTGTTTACTAAAATCTATCATTTGATATAATTGGCCCGGAAGGAAACTCCTGAACATCATATCGTCTGGGAGACGTTTCCCTGTCTACGGTTTAAATATTCATTTTTATTTTGCTAATTTTTTTTGTTTGAGACAAAGCCACTGTAATTGCCTAAGAACCTTACACAGTAATCCGCTTGCCAACCAGTTCCTGCCAAATCCTTTTGGCAGACAAAGGATTAATTTGTGACTCCTTCGTCTGCTCATAACAAAGCATTGTTATTTAGTTTGATGACTGTGGCTACTGACGTGGCATTTTATTGACATTATGCTGATTTTTAAAGTGACATTAAAGTCAAAGATTTTTTTCCCTCCCCCAATGTTAATGAAAGCACTTACCTTTAAATGATGTTTCTTAATCCGATCTTCTTCTTTCCTGTGCTTTTCAGCCTTCTATCCACCGCTGACTCCTCTGTGCTTGCTGGTACTTCCTGTCCCACGGTGTCTGCATGCGGGTCCACGCGTCTTATAGACTTACCTTGTGTCTTTTCTCACGTCCCGGCCGAAAATGTGATCTGTGCATGCGCCCGCCCCAAGATGCTTTGTGGCTGCCCGAGAATTTTCACATTTTCGGACGGGAGCGCACCGTGGTTTGGGTTTATTTACAAATAAGGATATACATAAATTACAATAAAGGAAAATTATCAGGGAATTTGGGTGGGTAGGTAGGGATAGAAGTTGGGGTCTCAATCATTCTGCTGGCACCATCATTCTCCAGGCAGATATTAAAGTAGTATTAAACTCATTTTTATCCATGAATCCAGATCATTTATATACACTGAGTGGCCAGATTATTATGACCAGCTGACGTTTGTAGGCAAATTAGCTATAATTTGGCGCTGAAGTTGCTAGAGGGCCAGACCATTATAAATAGGGAAGCGGGTTGTTTACCACGACAGTAGAAGTGATTTCTTTCTGAAGATACGGGTAAACAACACGATTTAACAGCCTTTGAACGTGGGATGATTGTTGGCGCTCGGAGCCATGGAGCGAGTATCAGCAAAACAGCAGAATTCGTTAAATGTTCAAGAGCAGCTGTTGTTAAAGTGTTTAAAGACCGGACTGTCAGCCGAAAATCTGGGTCTGAACGTGCGAATTGTGGCCGTCAGCGACTAGTCAATGTTAGGGCAGAACGGAGAGTGGCAAGACTGGTACAAGACAACAGAAGGGCAACAGTGCCCTGTCAGATTCCTCGCATCACCTTTCAGCATCTCGCGGAGTCACGAGGCGGCCCAACAAAGTCATCTCGTGGCCCAATTAAGTACTGATGGGGTGGTCATAATCTGGCCACTCAGTGTATACTGTACATGGCCCAGCAAAGTCCTTTTTTTCAGTTTTTACCGAAACAGTCGTCATGTTTGCAAACAGCTCCAACTCTCTCATCTTGGCTTCCCTGAACTTCCTGTCCAGACAAGCTGACAAGGGATAGAGCACCAGCAGTCGTCCATCTCATTTCTTAATTCTAATTTCTTAAAAGGGAAGAGGTGGGAAGGAACAGCAGAGAGCAGGGGGAGTGTTTTGCCTTGCTGTGTTTGTGGAGAGACACACAAGGGTGGCTCCATTGGACCCTGCAGGGGAAGGGAGGCACCTTAAAACAAGATATCGGGACCAGTGCTCAGGGGACCAGCTGATTCTGCAGGAAACTAGAAGTTTTATACATCAAGGAGCACCATCCATTGTAAGTGATTTTTCATCAGCATTTGGAATAGCTTAAAAACCTTTTGATTTTAATATCACTTTGAAGTCACAAGTCAGTGCAGCTCTGTAATCATTAATACATCTTTTGGATGTCTGGCATTTTTCTGCATTTGCTGCGTCTTTAAAGATGTGCAAAAATGTGCATAAACGTTAAAAGAAGATGAAATAAGAACTCTGGGGCTTCCCCTGCACTGCAAGGGTTAATTCAAAGTTTTTGCCTAGGGTAAAAAAAAGTTATACTCGCCCAATCACAGAGCTGGCAGCGCTCCCTCCAGCCTGTCTCTTTCTCCGCTGCAATAATGGTATGTTCCTCAGTGTCCTCATGTCCTATACACTGTATTGGACGTGGTGACTCACAGGACCTTAGACTGCTGCAGCAGAAGTGGAGAGAGGTTCCAGGGACTGGTCTAAGAGCAGGCCGGCTCAGAGGATCAGGTGAGTATAACTTTTTTTTATTTTTGTCCCTAGGCAAGAACAAGCAGTTAACCCCTGCAGTACGGGGGAAGCACCATACAATGTGCTCGGAGTTCTTTCATTGTATTCCTACCTGACAAATCAGGTTCTTGCCTAATATACTTGTACCAAACTATTACTGGAATTTTTTGTGTCAATTCTGTGTTTTTTTTGTTTTTTTTTTTCTCTCCTGAGCTTTGCCTGAGGCTTATGTAAAAGTCTAAAAGCGGAATTCCCAAACATTTTGATGTCATTATTTTTAGAGTTGCACCGAAATGGACATTTTAAAAACGGAAAAAGAATTGTCAGGCCGAAACCAATACTGAAAATGTTTTTTATTTCAATTTTTTAAATATTTAATTTTTATTTTTTTATAAACTTTATTTTTTACATTTACTTTTAGGGGCTTCGGGGAAATATTGGGGGTCTAAACAGAGCCCTGATATTTCCCTTTTTAAAATAGAAAAAGAGATTGAGAATGCAGAGTCCTCAATCTCTTTTTTTCTGTGTCCCCTGTTATCAATGAACAGGAATCCTCTGAGGCTTTCTGTTCATTGATAACACGAGGACATGGTATGTTTACTATAACTACAATCATGAATGAACAGGAGGTGATGGAGATCACTTCCCATTCATTCATAATTGAGGCTATAGTACACATACCATGTCCTCAATTATCTACAAACACTCAGCAATCACTCAGATAAGAAAAAGCAAAAGCGCTGTGGACTAATCTTGATGTGTTTGTTAAATGTACAGGATCGCTAGGGGTGCTGCCCCACTTCAGCCGGGGAGACTGTAAAACTGGAAGACAAAAGAGAAAAAAGGGCGCCCAACCTGGTGCAGATAATCCTTTTAATTTAAAATAGACACTACGCCCCCTTCAGTTCTGAAGAAGGGGGCGTGACCCCGGAAACGCGTCAACGACGTCACTACTCAGTGGCACACAGACAGATTGCAGTCTTGCAACTGCTGTTTCTCTGAAATCATCCATATACGCTGTTGTTTGACCTACCATTGTGAGTACCCTTGTACTTTTGTTTATGGTGTCTATTTTAAATTAAAAGGAGTATCTGCACCAGTTTGGGCACCCTTTTTTCTCTTTTGTCACTCAGCAATCACTGTTTGTATCTCGCTCGTCTCTCTGACACGCTGTCATAGGAGGCTGAGCGAATGGAGCAGGGAGGAAAACCCAGCCTCCTGTGACAGCGCCGTCTTCGCCCTCACACCACTCTGCCAGACTGTGATAGACCGAACGGTGTGGGAGGAGACGTCGACCACTCACAGCGCTCTCCTCTCGCAGCGCTCGGCTGGCTGTCACACTTTCTCTCCTCCCCGCTGGGACACAGAGCAGCGCCCAGCGAAGAGGAGAGAAAGCAGGGATGCGCCGATGTATCGGCAGGAAAAAGGCACTTTCGGCATTATGTCAAAAGTGCCATTTTCGTCCGATATGTTTCGGCGGCCGATATATCGGTGCATCCCTAATTATTTTCCTTTTTTATCTTCAATGTTGCCTATAAGCTGTCAGCGCATAATCTTTCTAGTATTTTGGTAGCATTTTTTCATAATTGAGGCTATAGTACACATACCATGTCCTCAATTATCTACAAACACTCAGCAATCACTCAGATAAGAAAAAGCAAAAGCGCTGTGGACTAATCTTGATGTGTTTGTTAAATGTACAGGATCGCTAGGGGTGCTGCCCCACTTCAGCCGGGGAGACTGTAAAACTGGAAGACAAAAGAGAAAAAAGGGCGCCCAACCTGGTGCAGATAATCCTTTTAATTTAAAATAGACACTACGCCCCCTTCAGTTCTGAAGAAGGGGGCGTGACCCCGGAAACGCGTCAACGACGTCACTACTCAGTGGCACACAGACAGATTGCAGTCTTGCAACTGCTGTTTCTCTGAAATCATCCATATACGCTGTTGTTTGACCTACCATTGTGAGTACCCTTGTACTTTTGTTTATGGTGTCTATTTTAAATTAAAAGGAGTATCTGCACCAGTTTGGGCACCCTTTTTTCTCTTTTGTCACTCAGCAATCACTGTTTGTATCTCGCTCGTCTCTCTGACACGCTGTCATAGGAGGCTGAGCGAATGGAGCAGGGAGGAAAACCCAGCCTCCTGTGACAGCGCCGTCTTCGCCCTCACACCACTCTGCCAGACTGTGATAGACCGAACGGTGTGGGAGGAGACGTCGACCACTCACAGCGCTCTCCTCTCGCAGCGCTCGGCTGGCTGTCACACTTTCTCTCCTCCCCGCTGGGACACAGAGCAGCGCCCAGCGAAGAGGAGAGAAAGCAGGGATGCGCCGATGTATCGGCAGGAAAAAGGCACTTTCGGCATTATGTCAAAAGTGCCATTTTCGTCCGATATGTTTCGGCGGCCGATATATCGGTGCATCCCTAATTATTTTCCTTTTTTATCTTCAATGTTGCCTATAAGCTGTCAGCGCATAATCTTTCTAGTATTTTGGTAGCATTTGTAAAGATTTCCACATGCATGATTGTCCTATGTTCTCCTCGGCCCCGGCCTGGCCCCCAGAAAGCTGTCCTCTTCCCACTTTTCTGCCTGACACCTTCTCCTGGCGTGCACGGCTTCTATGTGTATGTGTGCCAGTGCTGTGCCGCTTCCATTCTCGCCAGGTTTCTGACTGTCTGCTGGTACTACTTGTACTTCTGTAGTAAACATGAACAGGAACCGCATGGTAGAGACGTGTGGCTGAATCCTGGGGGCAGGAGCCATGTGGACTAGTTGTAATTGTGTAGTAAACATGAACAGGACCCGCATGGTAGAGACGTGCGAGTGCTGGGGGCAGGAGCCATGTGGCTTGTACAGGTGGCATTGTATTTCTTAACTAGGGTCACTGAGGCTCAAACATCATTTCAGTAAATGGTAATTGTTGTGTTTTGTTTTTTTTTTCTTTTAACTCAAGGAGCCCGATTTGAAGGCTATTGAGAGGGTCCAAGCTTTGAATAAGGAGAAGGCAGAGAAGAGGCACAGAGAGGCATTGCAAGAACTAAAGCAGCACAGACAGAAGCATCTCAGTGACCAGACCTGGTAAGCCCTGATAGAAGAACCTGCACTTCCGGACACGGCAGCCTACCTCATTCCGCCGGTTGAACGTCCCCTCCTCTCTCTGGCGGCGTCTATCACTAAGATGGCAGGCGTCAGTTAGAGGGCCGTGCTCCGGGTGACACCCGGCCTCAGGACTCCCCTGATGGTATATCTGTAAAAAATAAATCAAGGCAACTGGAGTTGCTGTGTTTTTCTTGGACATTTCACCAGTCATCCGACTAGACTGAATTGAGAAAGCTAATCTGTGGATGACCAACGAAACGTCTTCAAGAAAAATACAGCGAGGCCAGTTGCCTTGATATATTTTTTTACAGATACAATGTGGTATGTTTTCAGCTACTTGTAGCACCTGCTGTCTCATACATCAAGCGTTCTTGAGAAGGAAACAATGCTCCTGATTGTGAGTGGTGCTTGTCCTTATTAGTTTGTTTCCTATAGATGGTTCAAAAGAATGCACCAGGGGTTCAGAGGTTCTGTTGGGGAGGTTTTTTGACTTGTTTGAAAGTCACCCTGCTGATAGACCCTCCTGTTGTCCTCCTTGATATAGAGAAGGGTAAAGGGCCTGTAGTATCGTGAGAACACTGTCGGCATATAGCAGTTCATGGTGATCAATAGAACTGTACAAGGACCAGTAGATCTCTCTCCACCCTTTGTTCTCAATTAGATAGTTCTCAATTAGATAGTTCTCCTATTAAAGGGTACTTATGGTCTAAAAATAAATCTGTATTTCTGTATCGAATTTCCATACATTCTATCCCACTCCTAATAACCAGATCCATCTAGAGGTTTGGAAACTTACTTATTGAAGATGTCCATAGGATGGACTTCCTCAATGCACTGACACAATTTCACTCAGCAATATAATATTGTAATATTGTACGTGCTTGTGTCACAACTCAATGTCTGAACAATGTTACATTCCTTTTGCTTGCTGAAAGCAATGCATGATGGGATATGTAGTCTTGAGAAATGGAGATTGTATCACATGAAGCAGCAGGAAAAGCGATGCAAAGCACACTGAGAATCGAGGAAGTTGTTGGAAGTGATGGGCAGACTCGCTACATAAAAGGGATTTTTTTTCCAAGTAAGCTTTGATTGTATTATCAGAAACAACTCTACTATGTATTCCTATTACAATGCTGATGTTCTAACAGGAGAGGATACGCTGGGACTTTACTACTTTAATGGCCAGCTTTACTGTCTGGTCTAGTTAAGATTCACTGGCCGGTTCCCTTCAAGCAACGTTCTCAGTATCATCGGCACTTAAACCAGATTGACTTATAATAATTTCCTCATTCTAATTTAATGCTGCAGCCTCTGCTCCACTAGTGTGATGTTTCCAGTTGAAAGTGCCTCTTCACTCCATGATTTCATGTTATCTCTCTCTGCTCAGGCACATTAAAGCCCGTAGAAAAGCACTTGAAATTGAAAAGGAGCGTGCAGCCAAAGTCGCCAGTCTGCCCCCACCGCCACCAGATCCACTCGAGGTAAATACTCATTGCAGGTTATATTGTTACTGAAAACAATGATCTTTTTATTGTTTGACAGATCTATTGTATATCTAACCGCTGTACTCTGAATAGCATTACCACTATTGTGATTCATGGCATGATCAGTAACAGAATAGCTCTCGTCTGTGCCGTTCTCCATGGTACGTTCGGCCGCTTGGATTGTACTCGCCACTGCTTTTCGGACATATTTGTGTGATAAATGAGGAATGTATACTTTGTAGTTACAGGGTGACAGGGACAATTGTATCCGTTTCTTTCATAGGTTGATCTCCTGCACCCGTATAAACACTCATAGAACAGAAAATAATGGTTCAGTAATAACAATGTTATCGTTTATGATATTAAAGTATTGCAAAGAACCGTTTTTGGGACAACAGTTTTTATATAACAAAGTGGCTATTTTAAAATGGTTTCTCATGCAAAGCATGGTTTGTTAAAAACATTTAAAATAGGGTTGCACCGATACCGGTATTTCGGTTACGGGTACTGATATTTTTTTCAGTATTCGCCGATGCTGAGTACTGGAAGTCCCATTCAGGAAGCCAGGCGGCGTGTAAAGACTTGCCACCCGGTTTCACGGTTAGCAGGGAAGCCGTCCCCATGCTTCCCGTCTTTAAAGTGACGAGAAAGCATTGAGCCGGCTTTCTGGCCAATCAGGAAGCTGCGCAGCGCGTCATTACACGCTGCGCGGCTTCCTGATACAGGAAGTATCGGGCTAGGCGTCGGAGCATTTGGGTGAGTATGAGTACTCGCCCAAATACTCGGCACCAATACCGATACTAGTGTCGGTGCATCCCTAATTTAAGGTGACGCTAAACTCAGGAGTTAAATCTTAAAAATGCATTCAAGCACCTTAAGGTAGCCCTAAAGGCTGTGCGCATTCTGTGCAATAAGGTAAAAAATGCCCATTACTTTTCCGTAACCACACACACACACACACACACACACACACACACACACACACACACACACACACACACACACACACCCACACACACGCGCGCATGCTTCGCCACACACACACACACACACACACACACACACACACGGGCATGGCTTACTGCACGTTGTGTGTGTCTATGGATGCAGACGGCTAGGTGTGGGCACAGCTGTGAAGGAGGTGTCTCCTCAGCAGAAGACTGATGGAGGCACCCGCACACATGAGGAGGGTATCTGGTAAAGGGACACCTAGAGAACAGCGAAGAAAGAAGTTTAAAGAAGAAAAAAACTGAATTTGAGTACCTCTGCATCTCTAATTATAAACAGAAGACAAATATATGAAGGTTTAAAATCACTTTAATTATTAACAAAAATGTATCTTATATGTGTATCACTTTTTTATGTGACATTGAACTCGGGAATTTAAAAAAAAGTCCTTTAACGATTAATAAAAATGTATCACTCGGCTGTAGATACTCAAATAATCTCTGATTTGGTGCTGACACTGTCCTTCCTCCTGGAGGGGGGCTACTTTTGTTCCCCATGGCCTCTGTGTGTGTTGTAAAGTAGTCACCGCTCCAAACTCGCTCCAGTGATGGACTACAACCTCATGTTTAGTTTGCTTATTTGTATTGAGATTGTAGTCCATCACAGGAGTGAGCTTGGAGCGGTGACTATCTACAACACACACAGACCATGAGGAACAAAAGTAGCCACCCTCCAGAAGGAAGGACAGTGTCGGCACCAATTCAGAGATGATTGGAGGATCTACAGCCGAGTGATACACAAACAAGATACATTTTTGTTAATAGTTAAAGTACTTGAATGTATTTTTAACATTGAACCCTTTAAATTTAGTGTCCCTTTTTAAAGTTCTTCAGGATTTTTTTTTTTGTATTAACCCTTGCAGTAGGGAAATCCCTGCATTACAAGGGTTAAGTGCTTGTTTTGGTCTGGCAGAAGAAATACTCACCTGATTCTTGGTCCTGCAGCAGTCAGGGCTCACCTCCCACCCACCATTCCGATTGTGGAATGTTTCTCAGCGTCCTCATGTCTAATGAACCTGCATTGGATGAGATGGCGTCACAGTTCTTTAGACCGCCGGAGCCAGGGGGAGAATAGGCTGTGTGGACCAGCCTAGCAGCCATGCGGGATCACCGATCAGGTGAGTAACATTTTTGCCCCTAGACCAACACTAGCACTTAACCTTTGCAGGGGCTAATTTGAAGAAATCCTGGAGTTCCTCTTTAAAGGAGAACTATGGGGTTAAGTCTTTTCCCCATAGTTCTCCTTAGGGTAATGGGGAGGACACAAACTCGCGTCCTCTCCTCACCCTAGGCTCAGTATACCGCGAGCTGTAGCTCGCGTTATACTGAGACGTCGCAGCTGAAGCGGATACCGACAATTGTGCTGGGATCCGCCCAGCTGCGTGACTGACAGCTGGCTCTGCCTATCTAGAGGCAGAGCCAGCTGTACCCGCCCCCTCCTCGTCTGTTCAGCCAGTCAGCGCTGGCGGATCGGAGCGGGGAGGAGGGAATCCAGCCCCTCCCCTGTCACGGCATAGAGCTGCGACAGCATCGAGAGGTGAGCGAACGCCGGTATGTGTTCGCTCACCTCCCGATCTACTAAGCCGACCTGTGACAGTCTCATTGTCACAGGTCGGCTAGAACTATGAGGTGAGTGAAAAGCACTCACCTCATAGTTCTCCTTTTTTAAGGAATTAATTTAGTCTCTTTTATTAATGTAACGCATTCAGTTAGCAACCTTGGCACTCCAGCTGTGCTGAAACTACAAATCCCGTCATGCCTGTGGCTGTCAGTCTTGCAATGCCTCATGGGGCTTGTAGTTCACATCTGCTGTGCTGAGGTTGCCCACCCCTGTTTGTAGGGCTTTTGCACACAGTCTTTATACTCTTGCACTTGATCTGCTTTTGAAATACACATCAGATGCAGGTCAGCAGATTCCCATTCACCTCAATAGTACACAGTGGATAACAATTCTGAGGCTTTGTGTTGCTTCCCTCTGAAGACAGTAGGTCCTATGAAGATGTGTTTTCATTGCAGGCAAGGCAGGTCAAATGTAGCCTTTTGCTGTGATATTCATTTGAACGCAATAGCCTGCATTTAGCATCAACACCAATGTACACAAGCCCTTACTGACCAAGCAGAAGACTAGATTGCTGTTTGTTGTTTACATTGCTTTTTGTGGTGTTGGTACATCAATAGGAAGAAAGCACAGGCGGGATGACCGGACAGGATGTAAGTTCTCTTATTCTCAGAGGTGTAAATGGTCACCAGAGGACCACAAAGGTGACGTGAATTGGAAACATTTTCTAAAGTATTGTATCTTCAAGATAGGATTAGTTCCCCTTTGTTTTATTTCAAGATCATTTGTGTGTATTGTGAATTATAGAGACTATATCCTCGGATATTTCTGTGATGGTACAAATGATTAGTCATGAGATGATTGCAATTGCTGATTTTGGATGTTCTCCTGTCTTCTTTTTTTCCTTAATGACAGAAGCTTGAGGTTGTGAAAAGGCCCCCGGGGGTAAAACTCTGCAATGTAGACGGCTTCTCCATGTCTCACTACCACCTGCCTGAAGCCTACGTGGACCGAGAGATGGATACAGAACAGGTGACCGAAAATGCGCATTATGCCAACTTGGTTTTTATGCCAGTGCTGGGAAATCTAGAAGGAGAGAAAAATTATTTTGCTGACCTGCTAATACAACTTTTCTGATCAGAAATGTCCAGGCAGGTGTTTTTTTTTTTTTCTTCTTTAGTTTTGACTAGAGCAACGTTTCTCAAACTTTTACTATGATACCCATTAAAAGTATGCAAAATATGGCACCCTAGTCTATAATGTAAAAATATAGTGTGAACATTTCAAGGCAACCCCAAAGAAGCCAGAAAGCACCATAGAATGCCGCGACACACTGGCTGTGAAAGGATGGAATAGAGTAAGGCCCCTCTCAGCTCCCCCCCCTTTTTTACCGTGTCCCATAGTGGGAGATTTCACTTCCCGTCCCATAGCCACAAAAAGAAGTGAGAGGAATTCCCTCCAAAATGAGGGAAAACCTCCAGCAGTCAGCAGGGTTGCCAGAACTAGTGTCCCCATTGGAAGATTTCCTGTCTATTTCATTTCTGGTGACCACCCAAAATTTTATGTCAGTGATGACGGTCACCAGGACAAAGGTGGTAAATCTCCCTAATGGTGGTACAGGAGCAATAAAAATATGATCGGTGTTCTGATCCCTCTCCACTCTATAGAAAGCTTAAAAAAAAAACAAAACAATTTGGCTTCATAGATCCAGAATCAGGCAAAAATGAAAAAAATATTTGTGATACCATGTTGTAAGTAAATGTTAAAATATATTGTAGTCATTTTTTGTAGTGGTTTTTTTTTGTTTTCTGTGCTAGTTGAGTCTACAATGTGCAACTGTAGGCCTTGGAAGGAAAAGGAAAGCCTCAAATGACCTAGTTTTGGTCTGTCGGAGACATTTACTGGGGCATTTTGTCTATACTGAAGTTATTCATTAATATAAGATTTATACATTTTGTTTCCTTTGATCTGATACTTCCAAGTCAAGCAGGGCCGTGCATATCCGTTCATCCTTGTTAGGCTGGGCACAAACCTTACAACCATCGCAAGACTTTCGTCTTGCGATGGTTGTAAGGTCATTTAAAAAACGTACGATCTGCCCATCTTGGACAGGCAGATGGCACTTGCGATGATCGCAAGACCACCCCGCTGACTGGCAGGGTTTCCGATGACCGCAATGCCGAAAGGGCAGTGTGCGCTTGCGCACACCGGCCCGTCCAGCTTTTATCTTACGAAAATGCTACACACCCGCCGAACATCGTACGACACATAAAAGTCGTGCGACCTTACAGTAGTAGAGGTCGCACGGCTCCCACACACCTTACGACAATCGTACGATCGCGGGATTTCCCACAATTATCGTAAGGTGTGTGGCCACCTTTTAGGACAATCCCTTGCAGATCTGTTCTTTACAGGGCTACGGCATCCAGCTGTGAACTGGGGGAAGGCTGTGAATTTGTTTTTGCTAGAGGTGCACCCAAATGGAAATGTTAAAACCAAAATGAAACCGAACTAAAAAAACTGTCAGACCGATACCGAAAATGTTTTTTTTAAATAATTTTTATTCATTTTTTTTATTAAATATTTTTACTTTACTTTTAGGGGCTTTGGGGAAATATTGGGGGTCTAAACAGACCCCCAATATTTCCCTTTTTTAAAATGGAAATAGAGATTGAGGACACAGAGTCCTCCAATCTCTTATTCTGTATCCCCTGTTATCAATGAACAGGAATCCTCTATACTGAGTGCTCCTGTTTATTGATAACATGAGAACATAGTATGTTTACTATAACCACAATCATGAATGAACAGGAAGGGATGGAGATCGCTTCCCATTCATAATTGAGGATATAGTACACATACTATATCAATTATCCACAAACACTCAGCAATCACTGAGAGTATGTACCTCGCTCTCCATCCTGACAGCTGTCATAGGAGGCTGAGCGAGCGGACTGTAATAGGAGGCTGAGCGGTGTGGGAGGAGAGACACCGGCCACTCACAGCGCTCGGCCAGCTGTCAGTTTCTCTCCTCCCCGCTGGGACACAGAGCAGCGCCCAGCTGGGAGGAAAGAACCCTGCGATGCGCCGCTGTATCGGCAGGAAAATGGCACTTTCGGCATTACACCAAATGTGCCATTTTCGGCCGATTTATATCGGTGCATCCCTAATTTTTGCTTTGTCAGTGGATTTATCATTTGATTTAATTTGCAAGATGTTGCTCATAGCAACGAAGCAAAGGTTTGAGCTAAAATCTGCTATGCGTTTCCTTTTCGCTGTGCTTCTGTACAAAGCATCTGAGGCTTATGTTACTCTTTTATGCGTTTTTACCAGCCCGATGCCCGTACTGCCGCAGTTGAGGAAGCGAAGAGGCTGGGCGCGCTTCAGAAAGAGGAGGAGCGTGAGAGGCGGGAACAATCAGAGAAGGCGACACTCCGTGGATCTTGTGCTTTAAAGATGGTACAGCTAACACAGGTATGTCGTATGGTTTTCTTGTATTCAGTTACTCTGTATTACAATGTGTTTTTAAAGCGGAACTCCGGCAAACTTTTTTTTTTAACGCTTGCAGTGGGGCTACTCCTGGACTGCAAGGGTTAAGTGCTTGTGTCTAGGTGCAAAATGAACAAAATGAAGTTCTACTCGCCTGATCCTCGGAGCTGACTTGTTAGACCCGTCCCTGCAGCCTCTCTCCCCCTCCGCTGCAGTGGTCTAAAGCTGGCCATACACGTATAGATTATCTGCAGATTTTTTTATGATCAGATGGAAAGTGCAACAGATTCCTCGTTTTTCTTTTCCGATAAAACGATCAGTGATGAAAAATCGCCAAATCTGATAACCAGCTGAGCTGGTATGTGACTTGTCGAGTTGTGTGTTTGAAGCTGAGTGTATATTGTTTGTCTATGTTGATTGTGTTCCTAAACCTGAGCTGTGATGACATCTATACTCTCCAGAAATATACCGTGGTGGTTTCTACACTTGATCTGAGCTCAGGATGTTTTTGAATGCCATGATTCTGTAATACCAGGAAAATAGCTGAAACTGTTTGTCTGTGCAGGGGAATGCAACGCATGGTCAGGGACCAGATGGCATTGGTGACTATTTGTCTACAACCACCTTATCAACTGGCAGTTTCCTGACCAGTGAGAGACTGACTCCAGTCCTGCAAACTCTGGTTTGTGTTGCCTAAGGTTTTCTAAAGCTGGCCATTCACCTATAGATTATCTGCAGGTTTTCTATGGTCAGATGGAAAAAGTGCAACAGATTCCTCCATCTACGCTAAACTGTGTGGATGGAGGCCAGCTTCAGTATCTTGCTAGTCGGCCCCGCTGGCGCTCAAAACACCTCAACAATCTGATTGGATGCAGGCACTGTTCAGGTGTTTTGAGAACTCAGTCATGAACTTATAATGAAGTGTGATGATTTACTTGCAGGATCGGGACAGGCTGATGAAAGAGCTGGAGCAGATGCAGCAGGAAGATCTTGCTCGTAGAAGACAGATTGTATCCCAGATGCCTCCACAATTGTTTGAGCCTGCTTACCGACGGGAAGAGATCAGGGAAGAATGGCAGAGGGATCTGGAGTCTGCATTTGAGGACATGTACACCAGAGGCACCAGTAAGACAAATCCCATAACCTGTAAACTAAATCAAATAACTGTACAACATACACTGCCTGACCAAAAAAAGTTATTTAACCCTAACTGATGCAGTGAGTAGCTTATTTCTTAACCATGAATTTTCTTCCCTGATGGCACGGGCCTAGTCCAAGATGACAATGCCAGGATTCATCGGGCTCAGATTGTGAAAGAGTGGTTCAGAGAGCATGAGACATCATTGTCACACATGGATTGGCCACCACAGAGTCCAGACCTTAATCCCATTGAGAATCTTTGGGGTGTGTTGGAGAAGACTTTACGCAGAGGTCTGACTCTCCCATCATCACTACAAGATCTTGGTGACAAATTAATGCAACTCTGGATGGAAATAAATGTTGTGACATTGTATAAGCTTATGGAAACGATGCCACAGCGAATGTGTGCCGTAATCAAAGCTAAAGGAGGTCCAATGAAAAATTAGAGTAATTTCTTTTTGTCCAGGCAGTGTATAATCGGTAGATGTGTACCAGATGGCATACCACATCCCGGGTATTTTTGTTGTCCCCTTTATATGACTTCTCAATAGGTTTTGCAGAGGGAAAACGGGACAATGTATGTGTTGCTGAAACAAGATTATTTCTTTAATACTATTGTTCCTGTGGGTCCCTTTCAGTTCACAGATGTGGTATGGGATTTAAATGTCCATGTGAAGAGGGAGAATGCGGTCACTTGCCGGCTCTCAAAACACCTGAATAATGCCTGCATCCAATCAGATTGTTCAGGTATTTTGAGAGCCAGCGGAGCCGACTAGCAAGATACTGAATCTTGGCCCAGTGGGAGATTCCTCCATCCACACAGTTTAGCGTAGAGGAATCTGTTGCACTTTTTCCATCTGACCATATAAAGTCTGCAGATAATCTATAGGTGTATGGCCAGCTTAACATGTGGTCTGAGCGGCTAGTGAGTTCCTCCCTCCCTGCCCCACCACACCCCATTGTGTCCCTCCAACTACACTTCTAGGGCAGTTGATCCTTTAGAGAGGACAGAGGTTTGTATTTTAGATCCTGTTTTTCATCAATCAACCTTTCTATGGTTTGTGGCCATAAAAATGAAAGCTTAGTTCCCATGATGTAGTGGAGGCTATCAATACTCTTGCATGATATCAGAAATGAATTGATGTGATGGTGTGACTATTTTTTTTTCCTGTAGTATGTTTTGTTTGTCCTCCTGGGATCAGTCACTTCCTTCACACCACAAGGTCCATGCTCATCAACAATGCAGTCATTTACTGATATGTGCTTACTTGTCATGAGACGCATCACTGCATGCACCAGGTAACACATGTTGAGCCTTCGCTGTTCATAAATATACTGTGCCCTAACTTTTTTTTTTTTTTTTTTTTAATTTTTTTTTAAGAAAGGAGGGGAGACATGGTCCTGCACCTGAAACCTCAACCTCTCCCAGACCCCACTGTTGCAAGCATTGATGAAGACCTGGATTTGTCTGTGGAGCCAGAAACTGCATCTGCAGTTGTGCCTGCTTTTGGGGAAACAGAGCAGGTATCCCCATCAGGTGAACATCAAGGTCAGAAAGTGAAGTGTTTTGTTTATTTGTTTTTTTCCCTTATCTACGTACACTTTAATGAAATCTGTCATATAGGATGCAGCCTGTGACTTGCTAAGCAAACACTTGAATGTTTACTCCTTGAATGCAGTAAATGTTTTGTAAGTGCTGTTCTCTAGAATAGCTGTACAATAGCCTAAATTTCCAATATTTAATAGAAGCCAGAGAGCCTCAGTCTAGAATTGTGCTGAAGAGGTTACTGAACCGAATAAGGACACAGAAGGACCAGTGGAGCTCTAAGAGCGATGCGGAGACAGTAAGCGAGACTCTGGAATCTGGATCATTGCCTGTGGAGGATGCAGCACAAGAGGCTGTTGAACAGGAGGAAATCATGCCTGATACTAAAGGTAATCTGTACCGGTCTGCATTATTATTTATCATTGGTTGTCAAGTTGGTCCTCCCAGTTGGCATAGAGCTATGCAATTACTGTCATGGCTCAGGTGAGAGAAACACAGGATCAGAGTGTCCTCTGTGGGGACTTTTTCCACAGTTCCTGATTGTTTGTTTTAGGGCTGCAACAACTAATCGACATAATCGATTATTGAAAAAGTTGTCAACTTTTTCAATAATCGATTAATCGGCTTTTGATAAGGTGTGTTTGCAGTAGTCCAGCTATACTCTAACTAACTAGACGTAAGATTTTGGGCGAGCGGATAGACACCTCCCTTTACAATAAAATGGACGGCTTCTTTTTCACCAGAAAGCATGTTTAAATTTACCCATAAATCCTTGTGTCCTTGTGTACTCTTAACATAGGTTTCCCCCAACATTTTTCCTTGGTTCCTCCTCCAACTTTCTACCACATGAAAGGGAACCTGTACTGTATGCATAGACTGCCCTTGCTGATGTTTTAATAAAAAATGCTTCCTACCTGGTTGTTATGCTGGTCCAGTGATTTGATAATTTCTTGATCACTATACCTGGAATAAGCAAGCATTCAAGATTTTTAGACTTGTTGCATGCTTATTCGTAATGACTTATGTTACATCTGGGATACCTATGTAACTAGGTTTTTCTTCAGTGGCAGCCTCCTCTGCAATCCAGGTTTGTGTGAGGGCACATGTGCCGAGGAAGTTTGGCTGTTACTCAGATCTTTCAGCATAGAGCCAAAAGCTGAGGGGGGGAAAAAAAGCTATTTTATTTCTTGTCCATTGAGGAACACAAAGTATTTTGCCTTTGGGTTATACTGCCACCCAAAGGAGGATTAGACACTGGCAAACTGTAGTCCAGCCCAGGAGAGCCTTTCCTACTGCCAGCATGCCTCAGTTTTTTTTTACTAATGTCCTAGGAGGATGGTCGTCTGTGTGAAAGACAACTATTTTTGCTAGCTTCTTTCTTTTTTTATTCTTTTATCCTTCTTTTTTTTCTTTTTTTCTTTTCGTTCTTTTCTTCTATCATGGCTTTTCTCTACATCACTACTAGATCTTGCCTCTTTAATCGCAGTTATTTTGCACAGCCGTCCTCAGCCTGGCTTTTGGAGTGTTGCTTCTGGAATTTGTAGGGATAGCCTGGAAGTGACCTGCATAACTTTCCAGATCCACAGCCACTGGCATTGACCTTGTCTCTGATGCCTAGTTCCAGTGTCTTAGCGCTTGTCCTGTCTCTGAAGACTGACTTTGTGAGTAAGCCAGTCGGGCAAAGCACCAGGAGCTACCTGAACTTCATAGGTCACTAGGCGCCTTTTAAATTCCCACTTTCGAGGATTAGGGGGGTGGACTCTCTAAGACTGAATGCTGATGTCACTCGCTGGATGGAGCGCCACCCGTGCTCTGTACTCCTCACCACCATACGGTATCAAAGAAGTCTCTCCGGTGCTGCTATTGCTTGAAAAGAGCTATGTGGAGCTTCGATCTTCAGTCTGTTTCTGCTGCTTGTCTACAGGGACTTTAGTCACCTCTCGCCATCTGACCCTATCCAGTCACCAGCTGTTTGAGTTTTGTGAGTACGTTAGGTTCTGCTTTGTAGCCTTGGCTTTAAGTTGCCTTACTGCCGCGTGGTTATAAAATGTCTGATTCCAGAGGAAAAAAGTCTTGCTGTCACAGGTGCCTCCATACTCTACTAGCAGCTCTGGGTTTCTTGCAATACTGCCTCCTGATGGTATTGGGGTGTTTAGCCTGGAATCCAGTTGCTCTCTTCTCCTAGAGTCTGTTCCGTCACCAAGAAACTTCTTTAGCTGACAGATGTGGCTGGTTCCTCTGCACTTTGAGGTTATAACTGCAGTCATGCAAGACTTTATGGCCCAAATCACCAAGTTATTTTTTTATTCTGACAGCAGAGTTTGGGAACACCCAGATAAGCCCCTCACTATTGTTTAATGGCCTTGTACCACTTTTGGAAGGATCTTGTACAAAAGCTGTCTAGCCCCACTGTTGATCCAGCAGTGTCCTGCCTTAGCAAAGTCACAAACGTACCAGTAGAGGATGCACTTGCCTTTAGGGATCCAACCTATGAGTGGTTAGAAGCCCTCTCTATAATGCTGTTCTCACTAATGGGTCCTGCTTTTCACCCCACTTTTCTGTAGCAAACTATGGCCAACTGGACAATTCCCTGCTGAGGTTGATCCCATGCATTCTGTAAGCATGGGATCACATGGATGTAGCTTTAAACTTCAGTTGTGACAGTTTGCTGGAGGCTTCATGGCTTACCTTGCGCATGGATCTCCTTTTCAGTGTACATGCATAGGATAGTTTGGCTTAAGTGCTGGACTACAGAACCCGCATCCAAAAATCGTCTAAGCCACAGGGCCTTCGAGGGACAATGCCGAAGGAGCACCCATTTCCCTCAGCAGAAGACTAAGGAACAAACTGCAAACTCTTCCTCCCCTTTATCGGTTAAGGAATGTCCCTTTCATTTCTGCACTCCTCCATCACCCTACATGTTAAAATTCCCCAAGCTTGGCTTCAAGTCCATTCACAAGGTTTGGGGCTCAAACTCTGACAAGCCGCCTTCTACAGGAAAGTGTGCTTACCATAAAATTATTTTCCAAGAGTCCATTGAGGGACACAAAACTAAGGTGTGCTGATGGGAGGGATTAATCCTAGGCACTTTTATTTCTGCCAGTGTCCATTACTCATTATAACGAGAGGTTTTTACGGGGAGATACAATTTTTCATATTGCAAATTTTTTTGAGTTGTTGGAGTTTACTAATTGGCTTTTTAGTATCCTAAAGGTAAGTATGCAGGCATAAGTTTATTTATCTGTAATGTTGTTTTAGCATTTCTTGCTAATCTTTGCTCATCCTGAACCTTCTCTACAAGAGGTTTTTTTTTATTTACGGTGTGATCTAAAATTGTAATGAACAAAACTTTAAACTGAATTAGAAAATTCCACGTTTAACTGTCTGGCTTGGTGTGATATACTCAGATATCTGTATTCTGTACATTATTTCCCCAAGACCATGTAAGACTGCATTTAGCTGTCCTCTTCTCACGTTGGAAGCTTCCTTCCTGTTTGATGTATTATTTCACAGGCAAGTAAAGCTGCTCTTTGATCTTCTCTGCCTTTAGTACCAAAAGACTTGACGGATAACACGGTCCTTGCTGGAAATTCTATCCTGCTGCATCCACAGGAGCAAGCGGCGCGCATCAGAATGGAGACTGAGAGAATGAAGGGGGTACATTTTTATCCTGTGCTTTTTTTGTTTTTGTTTTTTTGTTTTTCCATGTGCTGCTCAGTCATGTGGATGAATACAAGTTAAAGCTCCTGCACACTAAAGTGGACCTTGACCCCCCCCCTTCACTAAAAATCACATCAGTATATAGCTCTGCATGCTGATTTAAAATCAGATCACATTCATTAGGTTATTAAACATGTTTTTCATTTACTTACAAATAGAGTTTATTTACTTCCTGGTCCAGTTTTGGCACAAGTGATGTGATCGTGCCCAAGCTTTGCATTCTGGGAAGGTTGCATCAGCAGAGCATTGCTGGAAAATCTCATCTGTAATCTCAGGAGATCTCGGGGAAGAATATTTTCCTCCCCTGAGGCGATGTGCATGGTCACATGTCCTAGTCACATGTGCCAGAGTTCCAGGAAGTAACGGGAGATCTAGTAATCTGCCCTTAGTTAAAATGGCTACTGTGAGAATCAGTGCTATTTGGATATGTAAACATTTCTCAGTCACTTCCTTTTAAGAGCCATCTATTTGTATTCAGATACACTGAACACATGTAATGTTTTTCCAGATGGCCGACTTGGAGCGACAAAAGATAGAACAGCTGGAGTTACTGAGGAGACTGGAAGAGGAGAGACGAGGTGTAGAGGAAGAATACTGCAGAGTACAGCAACAAATGCAGGTTACCAACCGAAAAGAGATGGAAAAGGAAAGCAGTGTGGCTGCTGAGGAAGAGGGGGCCAAGTCAGCGGCACCTGAGAGCACTGTGAGAATCTCATGTCAAGTAATTTTTGTCTTTAAAGTTTTTTGTTTTTTTAGAATATTTGCATACAGGCAGGGCTCAACTTTGTGAGTGGTGATACAATTCACTGCCCATTCACACCACATCCAGATCATCTCCAGAATAGACCAGATTGTTTCCGGACCCAAAATGCATCCCAATGTATCCCTATGCTATTCCTGGCGTCCGTTCCCACCCGCGCAGTCCGTACCAGACCAGAAACATACTGCATGTCTCATTTTGTCTGGTCTGGAATGCACTAGAACTGCGGTAAGGTTCGCACCATTTTCTGGACCAGATCTGGTCCAGAAAATGGTGTGAACCTGCCCTAAAGTGCCTACATTGATGTGTTTCCGTTGATGTCAGATGGCTTCTGTTCCCGTAAAAAAAATATATGGCAATGCAAAAGCAGCTTGAAGGCGGAGGACAAATGCACCTGTCAATTCATTCTAAATTATCTCAGAAGCATCTCAAATTGATGTCAACAGCAAGCTGCATTTATCTGTTTACAAATGCCATAAGGGACACAAAATATAGCATGCCCATACTTCATGAAAACTTTGCTTATGAGGTCTGATGACCAGACTATGCTGTATTTGCAGAGCTGGGTCACATTTGGACTTCAGTTTTACTGTGCTTGAATGTGAATATAGCCAGCAGTGTTCTCCGTTTTCCTAAAAGTAAATTTTAGTTAGAGACTATAATGTTAATGTCCTGTCATGTCTTGCCATAGGAGCCTTCTGTTCCTGTTTCGGAGGCCCATGTGTCTGCTGAAAATCTGCACATTCAAATGATTCGGGAGTATCAGCAACGTCTCCTAGAGCAGAACAGGTAACATACGCGGAATCATTTTTGTGCGATTTTGATTAGTTTTAATAACAAAGTGAGTGTCATTTCTTCTTTTTTTTTTTTTTTTTTTATATATAATTATTATATTACACACACACACCTTTTTTTATAGTAGATAAATAGTGATTGGTGAAAAAAATCTAACATGTCCAAATGATGATTATTGCCTTAGGAAACTGTAGTTGTCGTCTTGTAGGGTTCATAGACATTCCCCAGTCTGACCGTTGGTGGCTAGGTAAAGCCAAACCATCTTTGATGTGGGCACTTTTACTAGTTCAGCTCATTGGTTACACTTCTCTGCCCCGTTCCTCCTGAAAATACAGCAATAGATTGATTTAAAGATTACTTTCAGGTATCCAATCGTGTATCTTTTTTTTTTTTTCTCGTAGGCAACATAAGCAGTCTGTAGATGAGGCACGGAAACGTTTGCAGGAATACCAGATGCTGTTGAAGAAGCGATATCCACACTTATCAATATCTCGCCAAGAGACACCTGACAGGAGTCAGCACAGCCCGAAACCACAGGTTCTAGAGTATCCTCCATCTTCTCCTCCTGTAAATATGATCAAGTCACCTCTTGGGATTGATCCGCTTAAAACTTCAGTTGCCATTAAGCAAAACTCAGAACAAGAGCATAAACAAATTATTCCTTGCGATTCCAGGGCCTTAGAGCCTGAGCAGAGGAGTCTGAGGAATGGGAGCACTTTACATGATCCCCTGTGGATGAGTCCTAATCTGCGTGTTGACTTCTTACCTCATGGTGATATGGATTCCAACAGGCTTGTTGAAAGTATGAAGAATCTAGATGGTGTTAGCTCCTCGCAGAGTGATTTTGGCAAGGAACGATGTCTCCAGGAGATTTCACCCCAAGCACAAGCAAATCCTGATGATGATGAGACAAAATTTCTGCATGCTGCAGCTGTTTGTGAGAAGCAGTCGACTACATCTAGCCCTGGAGATTATGACACATCGTCTAGCACAACATACAATCCGCTGCCTTCAGAACTTTCTTTAGGCCTACCCCAGATAGACTTCTCTGAACCAGTCATCCCTTTGCAAGTGCCCTGTTTACATCTAATGGGGAACCAGCCATTGGGAGATTTTTCCAACGTCCGTGAGTTCAGAGAAAGACTCCTCTCTTCCACTGCGGAGATCAGAGCTCAGCAAGAACATCTGAAGGCCATGCAAGATCAGCTGGACAAGCAGCGGGATGCTTTAGTGTCGAAGCAAAAAAGCCAAGAAGAGAATCTCTTTCAGAGACAGGAGCAACTGGAAGAACAAATGAGAAGACACCAAGAGTCACTTGAAAATGTTTTGGGTTCCAGTGAGGTAAGAGAACAGAGCCAGATCCAAGCATATTAAAGCATGGCCATTGTCAAAGTGGAGTGATCTGTGTTCAAGCGAGGTGACTGACTGAGCAACCCTGTCTGAGCTTTACCCTTTGTTGCTTTGACACGTGGCCATGCCTGTATTCTGGTTCCAGCAGCTAAAATCATATCGAAGTTTGCGAATTCCTTTTTAAAAGGAGTATGTGCAGCAGCACTCTCGTTGGGGCAATTTAGTTCATATTATAAGGGTTGCAGCAGGACAATAACATCCACTGCTACAATAAGAGTACATGTCATGGTGATTGTATACTCTGATGGTAAGACTATACCAATAAACCTGGGGGATGGGAGAAGGATGTTTCTATGACCTTGCTTGGGTTGCCTGGCCCTTAAAGGGATTCAGGAAATAAAATACCTATCCCCAAATCCAGTGATGGAACCTGCCATTCTCTGACTTGTGAGCTGTATACTGTATAAGTCCAGGGGGTAACATCACTCATGGTGCTGGTAAACACACTTCCAATGGAAGTTGTGTGTAGGCCATGAGTCCCAGAATGGCGGCATCTGACAGGCTTCAGAGACTGTAAAAGGGTATTTATATTGGTACATTTTTATGATTTTGTTCCTTTTTGTTTTGCTTTAAAGCCAGGACAGAACAAGCTGCCTGCTGACTTCTGCCAGATTCCCAATAAGGAGCGTTATCATTTTATGTCTACTCTTTTAGAAGCTCTGGATGACAGTAGCCAGGAGGACCTCAGACTGGAGCTTGGTAAGTATTTTGTATTCATTATAAATGTAACAAAAACTGGGACAGACAAAACTCTAGATAAGTAGAGAGAGAGCCATCTATAGCGTCCTGATAAGTGTATTGCAATCCTTTCTAAGCCACTTCTCTCTCTACTTCATGATTTGAGCATTACGTCTTTCCGAAACACTTCGCTGGTCATTGGATAGATGCAATGATGACAATTCACTGTCCATTGAACAATCTTGGTGGATAGGTGACACTGGGAGATGATGGCTGCTGTTCTGTCTATGGCTTGGCTGCTTTCTCCAACTGTTTGAAGTCGTAGAAAAAAATGGTCAGCCATGGTCCACATTCTGCAGATGGCATTCAGACTGCTGCAATGCCTGCTCCTCAGCGCACACATTGGAAGGTGACTGGCAGGATGTGTCAGTGAGCAAACACAAAATGGCAGGAGAGGAAATAATGCACTTTTAGCATGCATCCAGCAAGAAACAGGTAGCAGTTTGAGGAGACTTTACTATGTATGTGACGGGGAAAAGAAATCGCTCTGGTCAAAAGAAAAGCTTTTCTATATTATTTTGAAGGTAGTGCTATGTAGATCCCTAAAATATATTAATAATTTGTATTATTAATATAATAATTATATTATTAAACTGTTTGTCTAGAATTCTCATCCTCTCCACGTAGGATTATATATGTGCACTCTACCTTTTTATTATGTTGGTTGTCGGTGAGAGCTGTGCTTTGTCTTTACTAGGGATGCGCAGATACTAGTATCTGTGCTGATGCCGAGTATTTGTACCCGCCCAAATGCTCCGATGCCTTGCTCGATATTTGAGCTTCTGGTATCGGGAAGCCGGCTCCGGCACTTATGACAAGGGAGCATGGAGCCAGCTTCCCGGCCAGTCTGGAAGCCAAGCAGAGTGTCCTTACACGTGCCCCCCCGGCTTTCTCATTGGCCAGAAAGCCGGCTTTATGCTCCCTCATCACCTGGTTTGAGAAGCTGGCCAATCAGGAAGCCAGGCAATGCATCATTACACGGCACCCGGCTTCCTGATTGGCCAGAAAGCTCCATGCTTTCTCGTCACCTTGTGACGAGGGAGCATGGAGACCTGCTTCCCTGCTAATCGGGAAGCCAGGTGGCGAGTCATTACACGCCGCCTGGCTTTCTTAATGGGACTTCCGGTATCAGTATTCGGTATCGATTCATAACTAGTCTTTACCCAACCCCAACATTGACAATTTTGCATGCTGGGAATGAGGAGAAGCCACACAAGTTTATAATATTTAGGGCTCTTTCACACAAACATGCATGCTGGTGTATGTTAAGTCACCATGAGTTGTCATATGGCAGTTCTCTTCTGCAGGTAATGACATTAGTAGTAGTGTTATCAAACCTCCTGGAAGAGAGCAAAGATGGAGACCTTCAAAGCCACCTGTTACAAAAACAAAACTGGGCCCGTTCCTTGAGCAACATGAATTAAGCGCCATCATGGAAGTGGAGACGCCCACTAGCGGTCGGCTATCTAGCGCAGGACTGGCTGACAGCAGTGTGAATCTAATGGGTATGTCATTTTTTCAGTTTTTAAGATGTGTTTTTATGTTTTGTATATCATAATTCTGATGTCCTTTGACTTTGTTGAATTTCTTCACATCTGAGACCATGCCTCCGCTGCCACTTGTTATTTGGAAACCACATATAAGAACCCGTTTTGTCTTTACCTGGAGAGCCAGAGTCCTTAACCCCATTGCTAAGAAATAAAATGGACACACACACCACACTCTGCTTACTCCTTACCTTTAAGATATCATATAGGGCTGCAGCTAACTATTATTTTCAAAATTGATTAGTTAGCCGATTATTAAGTTCGCTTAATCGGATACAAAAATAAAAAATAATTTTGTAAAAAAAGGCTCCAGTGATGGGACTACTAGTTGGTTTTGAGATTTTAGTCCATCACAGGAGCAAGCTTGGAGCAGTGAACAAAATAAGTGGGGTGTGCAATATAGTGAAATGGAAAGTGTAAAATTATACAGCGCAATGCAGAATACCACCAGCTATGATGTACTATTGCTGGGATGTGTTGTATTGCTCTATACAGCACAATGCAGAATACCACCAGCTATAGAGGAATACAACACATCCCAGCAATAGTACATCATAGCTGGTGGTATTCTGCTGTATAGAGGAATACAACACGTCCCAGCAATAGTACATTGTACAGCGCAATGCAGAACAAAATCCAATTTTTACTTCTGACTTTTTTCTTCTTTTAGGCCAGAGTGATGTTGCTAGAGCAGCAGAAGCCATCTGTCCATCAGACACTAGTCCTAGAGAGATGGATCTTTCTGGGCTATCAAGTACTAGCATGGACCAAAGTGGAAAAGAGAGCTCAAACCAGAGCCGCGCTAAACTATCCTGGAGAGAAATGTTATCTCTGGAAGTGTCACGTGATCCTAGCAGCACAGGTAATGGCCGTTGTTGATTGGTTGCATGAAGCTCTGGTGCTGATGTATAAATACTTGGTGGTGTTGTCATTCCGATGTTTTTATCTAACTTGAGCAAAGTGATGCTGAAATCTCTTTTTCATGGAAATGCTATTTGTTTTGCGGTATGGTTGAGGGTGTGTGTGTGGCCTCAGAGTGTTGTGATTTCATTAGGATAGTGTGTGTTTGTGTTTTCATCTGAGCAATGATGACATGTACATTCTCCAGAAAACACCCGTGGTGGCTTCTACACTTGATCTGAGCTCAGATGTGTCATTCTGCTATTCATCCAATAATGCAGGTTGGACATGTAAGTAGGATCCTGATTGATAGGGATGCACCGATACTAGTATCGGTGCCGATTCCGAGTATTTGGGCGAGTACTCTTACTCGCCCAAATGCTCTGATACCTTCCCCGATACCGGAACTACCGGCCAGTGGAAGATTTCCTCTGACCGGCAGTGCCATAGGTTAACCTGGAGCCAGCTACCCGTGCGGGCAGGAAGCTGGACGGCGAGTAATGACCCGGCTTCACAGCCAATCGCAATCAAGCCGGCCAAACAACATTGAGCCGGCTTCCTGGACAATCATGAAGCTGGGCGGCAAGTCATTACCCGCTGCACGGCTTCCTGATTGCCCGGAAAGTCGGCTCTATGTCAGCGGAAGCACCGTTAACGGTACTCTGTATCGGCGAGTACCGAAAGCAAAATATTCGTACTCGATACCAAAAAACTGGTATCAGTGCATCCCTACTGATTGACATAAAATGTGTACAAAAATTGTGTACATTAAAGTCACTTTATAGTGGAAAAAACCCTTTGCTGTCTGCAACAATTTTGTTTTTACTTTACTGGTCCAGGGATGCTGGAAATCCTCTTCATAGCCTCTAATGTCATCAGGAGCTACATGGCTCTTATGCGCTCTGTAGCTGGGAGGAAGATCGGAAGACTGCAGCCGGCGTCTCTTACACCATTCTTCTCCCTGAGGCCATATTGACAGTGCTATGCTGTCCCAACTCATGGGGAAAAGAAAGGTGCGGCAAGCGCTGACTTGCATCGTGTTGGAGCGATTTCAGTGGTGACACCAGAGCACTGTGCAGGGTGACGATGCTCTACTGATTGTACTGCAGGAGAATCTGCTTTGTCACCCTATTGGGGAAAGTCCCCGGCACTGGGTATTTTAAGACTGATAGAAAGAGCAAATTTCTTTTCAAATTATGCTGTTTTTATTTTCTGTCCCCATGGGTGAGAATGTAGCTTATTTAATTACTGCAATGGTGAGACAGACTCGAACCCTTTAGTTGATCTAGAACCTGCTTTATTTTCTTTGTTCGGACAATCTTGTGACTGTAGATTTTGTGATACCCTCTAATTTTTTTTATTTAGATAACCCACATAGTCCGGTAGCAGTAGTCTTCCCTGCTGGTGATGGAACAGATGCTCGCCGTTACTTCTCGGCTCCACAAGGGGCTGCAGCACTTGTAAGTATTTAAAGTCATGAAACGTTGTGTCTTGTAAGTCTATTATCTGAGGTCGTTTTAACTGAGAACTAAAAAACGATCAGTGATGAAAAATTGCCAAATCGGATAACCAGCTGAGCTGGTTTGTGATTTGTCGAGAGCTGAGCTGGTGTGTGTGTGTGTGTGTGTGTCTTGTGAGTTGCAGTGTGTTTGAAGCTGAGTGTATATTGTTTGTCTGTGTTGATTGTGTTCCTAAACCTGAGCTGTGATGACATCTATACTCTCCAGAAATATACCGTGGTGGTTTCTACACTTGATCTGAGCTCAGGATGCTGCTTGAATGCCATGATTATGTAATACCAGGGAAATGGCTGAAACTGTTTGTCTGTGCAGGGGAATGCAACGCATGGTCGGAGCCCAGATGTCATCAGTGACCATTTGTCTACAACCACCTTATCAACTGGCAGTTTCCTCACCAGTGAGAAGACTGACTCCAGTCCTGCAAACTCTGGTTTGTATTGCCTAAGGATTTCTAAAGCTGGTCATACACCTATAGATTATCTGCAGGTTTTCTATGGTCAGATGGACAAAGTGCAACAGATTCCTCCATCTTCACTAAGAGGAATCTCCCCCTGGGCCAAGCTTTAGTATCTTGCTAGTCGGCCCTACTGGCTCTCAAAATACCTGAACAATCTGATTGGATTCAGGCATTGTTCAGGTGTTTTGAAAGCCAGCGGGCCCGACTAGCAAGATTATTATTAATACAGGATTTATATAGCGCCAACAGTCTGTGCAGCTCTTTACAATATAAGGAAGACATTACAATATAATTCAAGACAAGATGCTAAGGAGGGCCCTGCCCCTGAGGGCTTACATTCTAAGAGGGAGGGACAAGTGATGCATGAGGAGGTAGCTGTGTGGGGATGAATTGTTTGAGAATGTGATAGTTCAGTGGTTAGGTTGAGGTGGGATAGGCTTCCCTTTTAAAAGATGATTCTTAACCTAAGGCCTGCCTGAGCTGAGTGCTGATAAGACGCGCATACAAGAGTCATAATGGTGCTGCCAGGGTTACATGGAGCGAAGGAATTCACAACTTTTAAGTATATTTCCACTTTTTCCAGCCAAATTGGGATCACCTCTATTTTATATTTGTGGCATGTTTTTCATTCGCATAGCATTAAAAATACATTGTTGCTGGCACAAAGCATGCTCAATTCTGAAAAAAAAGCAGTTCTCTGTACTAGGGATGCACCGATACCAAGTACCGTACTCTGTACAAGTACAGATACTTTTCCAGCTCCAGGACTAGACTAGAGAAACATTCAAAAGTTAGGAGGCGGCTGTCATGTGTAAAGAGCACACTGAGCTCCTGGGATTTGTACATGTGTTTTTAATGTATGATATTTTTATTTTTTTTATAAACATATATTAAGTGATGCACCCATACCATTTTTACAAGTACTGATACTTGCCCAAGTACTCACAGACACAAGTACTGATACATTTTTGTTATTGCCATTTGACAGTTTTTCTAAAACAATACAGACTAATGATTTCAGGACAGTGGTGGAGCGCCAGAGCTAGGTCCCAGCTGCAACCGCTCCAACCCTGGTAGTTCTCATGAAAATGCCAAGTATCGGAACTGGTATCTGAACACCACTACTCTGTACTGATTTTCCCTCTGGAATGCAATGGGGGTGGGGAGATAAATGTTGACTATAATGAACCTTATCTGTGCTGGCAGATCTCATTATCAGTTGTAAACCAAATTTGAACACGGTCTGTCCTAACAAATGGTAGAAGTTGTGGAAACTTTGTATGTTAATGAGGGGGAGCTCAGTCTTTCTATGGGGGCAGTCACTCTGGAAATCATCCACGAATGGTCTTTCGTATAATCGATCAGTTGATGGGACACCAACGATTTGAATTGCTGTACTCCTGGCCGAATTCCCTCAATCTTTTTTTCGAAACGAACGAAAATTGATGGTGGCGTTTTCGTATGAAAAAAATCACAGCAAGAACACTGCACATGCACAAACGAAAATCCGTTCTGTCGATTTGACGAAATTCGGTAAGTTAGTATTGCTAACGAAGGATAATAGGACATTTGTCTGTGCATGATGGAGCAGTGGTGCAGAAAGGGAACGAGGGTTCCGCGACAGCACGTAGATAATGGAACGAGGGTTCCGCGACGGCACGTAGATAATGGAACGAGGGTTCCGCGACGGCACGTAGATAATGGAACGAGGGTTCCGCGACGGCACGTAGGAAATGGAACGAGGGTTCCGCGACGGCACGTAGATAATGGAACGAGGGTTCCGCGACGGCACAAAGGAAATGGAACCAGGGTTCTGCGACGGCACAAAGGAAATGGAACAATAATTGCTGAGTGTATGGCCAGATTTACTGAAATTGAGAGAGAAGCTGGCAAAGGCCTGCTACCCAGACAAATCTAAAGCTGAGATTTTTTTCCGGAAGAGCCATACCGTGGGGCTTTCTCAATTGCAACTGCAAAAGTGAAAATACACTAAGCTGGATGTAAACTGAGTCATTTTTGTCTGGTTCCTGCAATTTGCTCAGTGTGTGGCCCTGTCAACAGCCTTCCACCTGACGACAACTTCCAATCAGAAAATCAAAAGAGCATGGTGTAAAATTCTCGCCTGGACAGTGCAGCAAATCAAATGCAATTACTGTCTGGGCATTCTGACAGCAGCACACCCACCACTGTCTGAATACAATTGGCCAGCAGGTAGATTCATCCATCCATGTTTTTTAGCATGGATGGAGTAATCAGTTTGATTTTTGCCTGTAGGCTGATAGGAAAACAAGTGTAACAGTATGGCCAGCTTTTACACCCTTCCAGCAGCTCAGAGTGAGAGGGTTGGTTGTCATTTCTGAGCACTGGCAGGATGCCACTCTAGCTTGACAGACAGCTATAGGTAAAGTATTGTAGCAATGTAAAAGTGGAGGTTCAGATTCTTACAAATACCCCTCCTCACTGGTTCCTAAATCCTTCCCTCCGTTACAAAAACTTATATCATTAAATGGAACCATTTATTCCAAATCCATATACAGCTGTTCCACACTTATTGTCAGCTGTATAACCAATGATTTTTGCAGAGCAGGGATTGAGCCAACATAATGAGCAGCAAGCACCGCATTGCCTTCTTAAAAGTGAATATAGTAGCATCCCTGTCAATACACATGAAAAACCAAAGCGGCGCATTACTCATTAGAGGACAGTGTCCAGGACCGTAAAAATCCTGCAATCGCCCTATGGGACTTTTCTGGGAAGGCCCCCAGGCTCAAGTATGGATATTCCATTTTTGGTTTTTGTTTTTGTTTTATGATTTTGCAATGAGTGACAATCTGCTTCCTTTCTTTTTTGTCTTCACTGTGATATTTATAAATTGTTACTGTTCTCCACATCCTATGTGAACAGGATATTCTACTCCTACCATGACTCTTTTTCTATGGCATGTCAGTAGCTCACAGTTTTACATAGATTCAGTTCTGTTGCCGCTGACTTGACGGTCATTTTCTTCCTCTCGTCTTCACTTTTTAAATAATTTTTATTTTCTTGCTCAGTGGGGACACAGCAGAATTGTTACCTAAATATATTTCTTTCCATTCGTGTGATGGGCATATCTTTGAATACACGTCTATGCTTTTCCAGATGCCCTGTCAGAATTGCAGAGATGTGACTATTCTGTAATTGGGGAACCTGGTGATGGTCGTTCAAGTCCTTCAGCAGCCGCCACGGCGATTCAGTCTGAAATGAGATGGCGTGATTACCTTACGCCAGAGGAGAACCGAAGCCACATCCAACAGATCATAGCGAAGTACACTAAAGACCTTCATGCGTCACTTGAGAGGAACTTGAGTTTTCGTTGTAAGTAGCTATTTATATTCAGCTGGGGCAGGAGGAAGAGTGTCCGTGTGTGTGTCCCTGGTACATTCCCAGGGACCTTGTTGACACCTTGTACTATTGAAGTCAGGGAAAAGTGAGTTTATCTATTCCCAAACCCCCTCCACAGGTACCTTTTTGGCACCTTTAACCCCTTCAGGACCCATGATGGGATAATTCAGTCATGGGTCCTTGAGGGGTTAAACAGACCGCCGGGACCCTGTTCATATATGTAGAGCCGGCAGCCGGCTTTACAATATAAGTGATTCTGGCAACTCGGCTGTCCCCAGATCGTTTTTACGGGCCGGTGAACTGCCCAAAATGTTTATAGTCCCTCACGAGCACGCACGTCTTCGCGTAAACACGCTCCGGGTGCGCCTATGTACGAAAACGATGAGTGCGCTACACATGCTGGCTATTGCCGCACACGCCAGAGTGCGAGTAATAATTCTAGGGCCAATATGAGTAATAATTCTATGGCCAATATTTGAGCGTATCTCTAAACTGATGACCTGTAGGGTTTTTTTTTATAAAGCGCCATCTATGAACGTTTTGGGGTACTGAATTTTGTCTCAGTTACACGGACACACACAATTTTTAACCTGGGCATATTGGGTATCTATTTATTTACACGTTGTAACCTCATTTATATTGTAGGAAAAAAAAAGGCTTTTATATAGTGTTTTGGGGCATTGCATTTTTCAAAAAAATCTTTTGGGTTTGATAAAAAGTTGCGAAAATCTAATGTTTGGGGGTTTTAAGTAATTCTCAGGCCTAAAATATGGATTATATCATGTAAGCAAAAAATTAAAAAAAGCCTTGGCCCTTAAGGGGTTAACAGACATGGCCACTTAGGGAGAAGGTCCACTATAACCGTAGCTCTGTCTCTCCATATTCTCCTACAGCTGATAACATGTTATGGACACAGTAAAGTGTTCATGGTGTTTCTTCATATTTCTGGTAGTGGTGTATTAAAAAATGCTTTGATTTTCTTTGTCTTTAATTTGTTGTAGCTCCTGAGGCCGCAATTGACACTTCAGCAGCAGATAATCAGTTTCCTACAACCTTCTACCACTTGGATCCAAAGCAAGACTTTGATGTGTCCACTCCATCATATGCTCACTCAAACCCCACTAGCAGCTCTGTCTGCACCAGAGACATCAGCCAGGTAGGACTTGCTAAAGCACTCTGAAATATACCAGAGCCAACCAATAACTTTGTCTTCCTATCAGTAGAATTAATAGAACGCAATGTTGTTCTTAGGGCTCTTATGACACCAGCAGCCAAGATACGGCAGTACAAGGGAATCTTTTCACCTCTCTACACAACAGTGCTGATTCGCGGTCCTCTCAGAACATGGGTTTGTCTAGAAATGTGCCTCCGTGTTTCATTGAAGCTGCAGGTGAGTCATTTTATATTATTCATTTAAATGTAACAGTCCTACCCAAGACCAGAGAATACAAGGTGCCTGCTGTCAACTGAGCCCAAAAATCTTTTATGTCCCTCTATCATTTTTGCTTCAGTTTGTTAATGGGGTTTCCTTAATGCCATAACTAAGAGGGTCGGTTATAACAAAGAGAGGATACTGCTGTCTGCACTCTGTTGGGCTCCGCAGGGCTACATGCACTTTGGCCTGCATTTTAGTATGGATATAGAGCAGTTCTCTCTGCTTAACACCGCATTGAGAGCTCCATGACCAGAGGTGAGCTGGTCATGTGGCTTTGACAGATCTCGTGCTCTCCTTATGGGCTGCTTCTCCTCTTTTTTGTTTTTTGGGGGGGGTTTTGTTTTTTTAAGCAGCAGTCGTAATGCTTCTTTAAATTGGCTCCTAAGTCTTGCCATACTGTAGAGCAGGGGTAGCAAACCTCCAGCCCTCCAGCTGTGGCTGAACTACAAATCCCATGAGGCATTGCAAGATTCTCACAGGCACGACTCCCGAAGAGAGGCGCATCATGGGATTTGAGTTTCACCACAACTGGAGGGCCGGAGGTTTGCTACCCCTGCTGTAGAGTGTCATTTGAGTCCCAACCGAGTCTGCTGGGGGTTCTTTTATTTTTTTATTTTTAAATGGTCATCACCATGCTAATTTGTTACCTTTTTTTTTTACTGGCAAAGTGGTAATACAGCTATTGGTCTGAGCGAGTTATTAACCCCTTTACGACATCATAACTCATATATACTACAGCACGGGGTGGGCCTTAACAACTAGCTGCCACATATGCGTCAATATATTATCCAAGGTTGTAGCAAATTGGCACCCCCAGAACTGTGACCAAGCTGTCACCAACTGCTCGGGTCAACTTCCGACGATCAGGAGCTGGTAGGACAGGCTCCCGGTTAAGTCATTACTGTGCAGCCATCTCAATAAACTGTAGCCCCTCCCTCAAACTGTAGCCCCTCCTTTTGGTGTCATGACGCAGCGGAAAGGGGTTTCAAAAATTAGGGTTTATCATTGACTGCATCTATCTAACTCTCACAGGTTGTGGTGCACACAATGGTTACAGACATTGCCCTGCTACACTGCATGGCCTAATACAGAAATCTGTGAGTGTTTTCAAATATTAGCCTTAGACTTCACACGTGATACATGTCACATATTTGTACATGGAAAATATAATTAAAACATTATTGCGTTATCTAATGATCGTCCTTTAATTTTTTTGGAAATATATAACCAATATACCTATTTTTCACAGTTTTATGTTTGCGTTTATTGTGTACATTTTTGTATTTTATAGATTCTTCTGGATCTTTTTTGCCACTGCACCCTGAAAACACGCTTAATGAAACGAATGTGAACAGCCAGAATGAAGCCCATTATAGAACTTTGGCTCAGGGCATGGGCAATGTAAATACTGATGTGCAGGATGGCTCCCTGTTTTCTCATGTGCGTTCCTATGCGCAGACCTCCAGTACTGGCCCTGGCAGCCCACATTACACTTCTGCCACACTGACCGGTCAAAGTGTAACAGAGGAACCTGGCTCTTTCCATGAGCTAATGGCAACCAAGACAACAATAAATGACTCTGAGCTTTCCGAGCATCCAATCTCTTGTGTTCTGGATAAAAATAATTCCCGTTCAGTTGGTTTTGAAGAATTGCCCCAAGTACATAAAGAGCCTCAGAGTGAAAAGGATTCAGGAACTGCTGGGCATTTTCCATCAGACTATACACCACAAGAGAGTTCTGTTCTTACCAGCCAAGAGACCACTTCTGGAAGAGATAGAGTGCTGGACTCCTGTGACCAGACACAAGGCTCAGACGGCCTTTCTCTAGGATCTCTCTCTGGATCCTCATTGAACTTCCTGCCTAGTACAATAGGCTCTTCTGCCAGCTCTTTGCCAAGCTGCGCCTATACGTGGGTGAGTAAGGATTTGGTATATTTCAGCAGACTATAACTGCAGGCCTGTAGCATTCTGTCAGCCCCCATCCTGTCCTCCCCTACCCAACAATTTTCATAAATAGCAGAACACCAAGGTAAGAGCTTATCCTTAAAAGAGAGCTATGGGGTAACCGTTTTTCCCCCCATAGTTCCCTTCAGGGTCACGGGAGGACATTTACTAATCTCCCGTGACCCAAAACTCAGTATATAGCGAGCTATTGCCCGCTATATACTGATAGCACCGCAGCCGGGACGGATCCCGACAATACTGTCGTAATCCACCCTGTGTGCTGATTGACAGCGGGCTCTGCTATCTAGAGGGAGAGCCAGCTGTGCCCGCCCCTTTCCCGTCTGTTCTGCCAGTCAGCCCTGGAGGGAGGGACAGTCACCGCTCTCTGCAGGCAGATGATCGGGAAGTCAGCATTTGGCCGCATGTGTTCGCTGACTTCCCAATGAATAGAGCCGACCTCTTGACAGTTTGTGTCACAGATCAACTTGAATTATGGGGATGAGTGTTTTTCACTAACCCCATAATTCTTTAAGAATTTGTTATGGGATCCCGCCGGTGTTGGTCAGATGTGACAAAATCCAAAGGCATTAGACATTCAATCGCAAGCAACGGAGATGAATGGTTCATCAGGCTGCTGGATTGATTGCTTTTGCTTAAATGGCTTTTTATCTGGTCATGTGACTAACACTAGAATCGCAGAGCAATGCCTTTTTTTAAGGATATGCAATAAAGAAATGCTTTATATATAAAAGTATTCAAACAGTTAGGATAGGAAGCCGTTAATAAACTATAGGTCTTGAATAACAGTCGTATTCTGCTTGACGTGCATTTCGACTTTTGCAGCCAAATATGGTGTAACACCTACTATACCCGTGTTCCCATTTTGCATAGAATAACAAAAAAAAAAATGCTGTAGTTTTTTTGTGATTCATGTAGTCCAACTTACACACACAATTATTTTTAAATGAGAACTATGAGGTGAGTGATTTTCACTCACCTCATAGTTAAAGCCGACTTGTGACAATGAAACTGTCACACGTCGCCTCTATAGATCGGGAAGTGAGCGAACACATACTGGCACTCACTCACTTCTCGATCATCTCCCTGCATAGAACAGTGACTGTCACGGCTCCCTGCAGGGATTGCCCCCCTCCACTGTCAGATCTTCCAGCGCTGATTGGAAGAACGGACGGGTACAGCTGGCTTTGCCTCTAGATAGTCCCGGCCGTCCCGGCTGCGGCGGTCTCAGTATACCGTGAGCTGTGGGTGACGGGAGGACGCTAGTTTATGTCCTGCTGTGACCCTTAGGAGAACTATGGGGAAAAGAGCTGACCCCATAGTTCTCCTTTTTAAAGGTTTTATATAAATAGAGCAGAAAACGTATGACATTTTCCATATTTAAATGCTCTCGAGTTCGCTTATGGTATCGACTAACCTGTGTTATGTAAAAGATTGTAATATAATGAGCCAAGAGTAATTTAAAGGTTGGTGGGAGGGGCACCCTGCATACTGGGCCGCAGGTAAAGCTTGGAACACGGGAGGGTCTGTTTTAGGTTCCTAAATCCAATTAGTCCCATCGTACTCCTGACCGGAGAAAAACTCAGTATACAGGGTGGGTGCTGGAGCGACAGCAGATGCCTCTGCAGATAACACGAAACCAACGAAAAGTCACTCGCACTCCAATATGATGTCCAGTCAATCTCTTTATTGACTAAAGTGGTTTAAGATCTCCATGCAATGTTTTGGAACCCAAAGGTCCCTTCATCCGGCAAACAGAAAGCTTTAGGCTCCTTGTGCACAGGAGCAGTTGTCTGCACATGTGCAGAGCCGCTCTGAACAGAAAAAGCAATGCACTTTAATGTGCATTGTTCAGACATTTGCGGCAGCTGCGTGGTACTCAAAATAGCACAAGCGCGATTTTAATTCTGCTCAGCCGTGGCTTTATAATAACTGCAAACGAGCGGAATCCTGTGCGGGTGAAAGAATTTAACGTTTGCATTACCACGCGGTCTTCCACACAGAAAAAAGCGTGGGGAATGCAAATGCTTTATACAGGTGAAACTCGAATAATTATAATATCGTGCAAAAGTAATTGCAGTAAGTGCTGCAAAAGGGGCCCAAACCAAGTACTGAGTACATATGCATGCTTGTAATTTTCAGAGGTCCGATATTGTTCTATGTACAATTCTTGTTTTATTGATTGCATGTAATAATCTACTTTGAGGTTGTGGATTTGGGGTTTTCATGAGCTGTAAGTCATAATCATCACAATTATGACAAATAACGGCTTGAATTATCTTGCTTTGCATGTAATGAGTCTCTCTCATATATTAGTTTCACCTTTTAAGTGGCATTAGTGAAATAAATGAACTTTGCACGATATTCTAATTATTCGAGTTTCACCTGTATGAATGGAGCCTAAAGCTTGTCGTTTTGACCGATGTATGCGCCTTTGATGTTCTACAAAAAAATGTTTTAAATCATCAGTTTTTTGGTTTTATTTTTATAGAATTTTAAAGGAATGATCATTTCTGTCATTTTCATTAGGATTCTGGTTCAGCTCGTGGGATACTCGAAGAACCAGATTTAACACTGCTGAGCCTGAATGACAGCAGCGTTGTGTGCTCCGAGCCCACCATCACCCAAAGCTGTATATCCACTCCACAGGAAGATGAGAACGGCTCCCAGGTACTCTGTTCCTCTGTAATTCAAAAGAAACTAAAAATATGTTATTAGGTTTCACCGTCTATAAAACTGTGAGGATTACATTTTAGTCACATGGTATGCGGTTTTTTTTTGTTTTTTTTTTTACTTTTTAGGCTGTTTTATTTTAACAACATGAATTCTTTCTCATTTGTTGCAAGATGCCGAAAGTCCTAAACCTTTGGGGGGTTTAGACATTGACAAGCAGGCAAGCCCTGAGTATAATCCCTCCTACTACCAGCATGCCTCAGTTTTTTCCTAGAGCCCTAGGAGGATGAGTTTCCAGCATGGTCGTTCTGAGCTTGGCCTTCGGACTGTACCACATTGGGACAACAATTTAATGGCGTTGCGGAGCTAGCCTGGAAGTGACCTTCAGGCATTGGGTTACTTTCCAGACTCTGTTGAGATTAATTTTCATGTGCAGCATTTTCCAGATCCAGAGCCCTGGCATTGCATTTCGGGCCTGTCTATTGGCGGCTGTCATCCCCCCACACCGGCTCCTCCTTCTCCCCGCGTCCCTGTGCCGAGCGTGGATGTGGGGAGCGTGAGGTGGTGTGGTGTGTGGATGTGGGGAGCGTGAGGTGGTGTGGTGTGTGGATGCGGGCGGGGCTGGCAGCGGTGAGCGTGAGGTGGGGAGGAGGTGCAGCGTGTATGGTACCATGAACAGGGCCAACTAATCGGAAGCCGATTAATCGATGATTGAAAAAGTTGACAGCTTTTTCAATTATCGATTTTAGTTGATTAGTTGTTGCAGCCCTACACAATAGAATACACTTCGTACTGTTGGCACGATCCATAGAGGAGGTGAACCGAAACTACAAACCTGGAGTTAGGTTGGATTCTAAACTGGGAGAAACCAAACCTGTCTCTAGAAATAGGATTATAGGAAAAAAGTCAGCGCTCCTGGGATCAGCTAAACACTATTAACCCCAAAGCTGCTATGAGGAAAGGAGAACCTTGTATATTTAAATGATAAACACAGCGCTATTTAAATGATAGCGCTGTGTTTATCATTTAAATATACAAGGTTCTCCTAGAAATAGGATTGTCTGACTTAGAATCCATTCTAGACCAGGAGTAGGCAAACTTTGGTCCTCCAGCTCTGCTGAAGCTCCAAATCTAATTAGACACTGGTGGGAATTCGAGAAACAGATGCAGACTTAACTGTACAAAAGACTTTGATGGAAGAGAGAAGGCACTCAAGACTGAATCAAGCAGAGTAAACAAGATAATGCACTGCACTTCCCATAAGGAAAGCTATGTCTTTGCTAGAAGCCTTGACAGCGGATATCAAGAGTGGTCAGGGCACAGGCTAGAATGATGGACCAAACTCCACCACTTGACACAGGGACAGCTATGGAGATACTGGGTACAATAAAAAATTAGTATGGATGGCATCACCTGGGGCTGGGGAAGTGCATCTGGGGACATAGCAGCAAGGGGAAATGGTTGTCTCTCAGTGTAGTAGAATGTGAGCAAAGTGGAAAAGCTTGTCTGCCATTTCAAATTGAAAGACAGTTCGAGCCATGATACCTTCAGACAATATCACAAGAGCCTCATATCTAAATTGACCTCTGGGACAGCCCCAAAAAGAAAGTGGATACCTTCTTCTCCCTGAATAAGCGGGCTGACCTGTGATTATTAGATACACTGACCCACATCTGGGACTTCAAGGTTACAACGTAACCTTTCTCACCAACCATTATTCTGGGTAAAGTAGTCCGGATGATCCGCTCAGAACAGTGCAGAGCGATCCTTAGGTCCAAGGAGCACATAGTTCTCCATACTTCAGTAGAAGGCGAGAGAGCCACCTATGACCCTCACCTGCACAAGGGACTTTCTTTCACAACTTCAAGTTTTGCAATGGGCTATGGATCCTCATTAGGAGATCTTCAAGAACAAGGGGTTGTCGGAGAAGATATGGTTGGAAACTGGTTACAGGAGCGATATATAGGAAAGTGTGGAGAACCTACTACAGCTGGGTTAGAACAAGTTTAGGCACACCTAACCAGAAAGCTTTGGATTTCCTCCCTTTGCACCATTAAAGTGCAAGTGGCGTCACGGTCTTTGTTCCTAGAGAAGAACTTACTAAACAACTCTTTAGTAAAATGCTTTTTCTGAGCATTACTCAGACTTCCCCTCAACATCTGACTGTACCACCATTGGAACCTTCAACTGTCTTGAAGGGACCTGCAAAGCCACCCTTTGAACCTATAGCAGAGTCCTCTATCAAGGATCTGACTATGAAGCTTTTTTCTTTTAGTGGCCATCAACTCTGCTGGCAGAGTCACTAAACTTTAGCTCTCAAAGAACGATTCCTCACTCTGTCAGGGTCATTTTTACCAGGGCAGGCCTTTCTTCATGCCTAAAATAGGGTATACACGGTCACAATTTCTAACAAATTAAAACGATTTCAATTTGAAGAAGCTTGTTGCAAAATTCTACCAGTGAATATGGTTTACGATTGTTAAGTCTCTGATGGCATTATGAAACGTTCCAATGGGATCTTTCGAGTCTCTGATGGTGTTATGGAACGTTCCGATGGGATTTGTGGTGCAAAATTCTGTATGAAATCTACCCATATATACCCTAGTTTTAAGTAGTCCTCTGTCTTACACCCTAGCCAGATCATTGTTCTCCCATCATCTGGCTCGGGTTCGTTAAAAGGAAATGTATTTTCATTGTCTGTCTGGAAGTGGTTCGGTCTTTGCGTGCATCTCTCAGCCACTGCTTCTTTCAGGAAGACTGATTCCCTTCCGTGTCGTTCCAAATAGGTCCCTGAAGGTTGCCCCGGCTTCTCTTTCCACCATCTCTAGGTGGCTCAGACAGACCAATGTTTGCTTATGGTCTCATGGATCGGTTTCCCCTTTCCTCCCTCCACTAAGTTTGTGAGCACTACTTGGCATTGGGCAACTGTTTCCCAGATTTATAAGCCTGCCACCAGGTAATTTATTCACATGTTTTCGAAGTTCTACCTGGTGAATGTTTCTGCCTCATCCGATGCCTGCCTAAGATGCTTTAGGTGATTCTTTGAGCTGCAGGCAGTTCCCAGTTTATTTATGTTGGGCCTGAGATTGTTTGCTGTGTTGTCCACCCCTCAGCAGGATTGGTTTTGAACGCCTCTAATGTTTAGGACTTCTGTGTCCCTCAATGGATTAAAAATAGGATTTTTTTTTTTTTACTGACCAAATACCTGATCAAAAATTGATTTTCTATTTTATTTTTTGTCCAATTGGGGGACACAGGTCTCACCCTTGAGGCATCTGGTAGTTAGAGGTTATACTTTGGGCTGGCCTACAGTTTGGTTTCTAGTGTCCCGTGCTCCTGTAAGTGACAGTATAACCTGAAGTTTTAAGACTTCCTGTGTCCCTCAATTGACCTTCACAGTGAGTACAGAAACCGTATTTATTTTAAGATATGAATGTTATGCATCCAGATCAATATAAGACTAGTATAGGTTGATGGTTATACAGTATGGAAACTTGTACTGTACTTGTACTGATAGAAAGAAGTGCTTTCTGCAATGTTTAGACACTTTGCCCAATCAGCAGCTTCTTTAACTATTGGCCATACACAGGGGGTCATCTCATTTTTACAGAAGTTAGAGTGATGGATTTTTCATCTATAGTAGATATCAGAACACTCAGAACTTCCAAACTTTTCCTCCAAAGTCAGCAGGAATGAGTTAAACTTCACAGACAAAGGGGCCTGTTTGGTGAAAGGCAGTACTCATCTCACCAGCTATAAAGTGGAAGCTTGTAACTACAATCTACTGTGTTTTAGATGAACTGATTATAAAAGTAATTGATATACTAAAGTACTGAATAAGTATCGATTCTTGTCTGGAACACCTGATTTTGAAGTTGGACTTGGACCTCACATTCCAGGTAGATGCAATGCTTCCTTTTGTATTGTGAGAACAATCCGTTGATGGAAGATTAAACAACATTATGCAGTCATCTCAATAGATTTCATTGTGTGCAAGCAGTTTTTATTCTTATCCCCCATGCTATTTATAAGCCTGCAGAGAGGATCTGGCTGGTGACCTCACTAGCAAAATTCAGTGTTTGCAGGGAAAATGTACACTGGAATTCGGAGTTTAAGCTATAACCTCAGTATTACACTGTATCTGCAAGACAGGTTCTCAATATGATATATATATATATATATATTTTTATTTCAGCATAGCTTTAAGCTACTTCCAGCTGAGGTGGATGCTTCAGATGTTACCTTACCTGACCGGTCTTCACTGGGAGGATCTCTGTCACAGCACTTTGCAGGTAACTGGCTTCCACTGTATCTGTAAACTAATGGAACACCTTTTTAAAGGGGAAAGGTACCTTTTAGCATGATTGTTCTAAATGAATACCCCAGCCCCCAAATTGCAGTTGTGTAAGGTCTTAACCTGTGCCGTTAAGCCTTTACACTGAAAATCGTGCACACTAACGTCCCATGCAGTCCTATGGGAGAGCTGTGAACTCCTATAGGCCATCCATAAGTACGGCTATCCCTTGACAGGCTGTACAGTAAAGATCGCTGGAACTGGGAGGGAAGGCAAGTATTTTACCTATTGGGCTATACTCTGAGGGGTGAGGGGATTCAATAAAAGACTAGAGTTGTTCTTTAAAGTGTATACAACCCATGAAAGGGTGTTTTTGTTTTGTTTTTGTTTTTTTTATAACCTCCTGGTGTGTTAAAGTGACATTAAAGGCAACTTGTTTTTTTCCTTCCCCCCAACGTTAATTAAAGCACTTACCTTAAATGATGCCTCTTAATCCGATCTTCTTTCCTGATGTTTTCATCTGTCCCTCCAGCGCAGCTGCGGGTCTCCGATCCAGCGCTGACTTCTCTGTGCTTGCTGGCACTTCCTGTCCCACGGTGCTGCATGGGGTGCTGCATAGACTTACCTTGTGTCCCTCCTCGCGTCCCAGCCGAAAATGTGAACTGCGAATGCGCGCGCCCCAAAATCCTTTGCGGCCGCCCGAGAATTTTCACATTTTCGGACGGGAGCGGGGAAGACGCAGTTAAGTTTTTAAATCTTAAATCGTTTTTGTTTTTTTAAAAACTTTTTGCATATATCTACTGCTTGCTATTAACGCTGCCTAGTTGAATCTGGACTTGAGAACACTTCCTCTGTTATGCAGATGAGGAGAGGTGGAGGTGTTCTGTTTTCTGAACAAGCGTAGAGTTGCCTTGTCGCACTCCTTACCAGAAAACACAGATCAAATGAGGGGGGGGGGGGGGGTACTGCGGATGGCGCCACCAGATAATATAGGTAAATGGATGTCGCCGGCACACCGAGTATTGTAGTCCAAAGTGCTTTATTTAAAACGTCATGTCATCAGAACAAGCGTTTTCGGGGCCGCGCAGGGTCCCCTTCCATCGGGTTTAGCAGTTGCGTGGCCTCGAAAGAGTTCTGATGACATGATGTTTTAAATAAACAAGCACTTTGGACTACAATACTCTTGGTGTGCTGGTAACATCCATTTAGCTGTTTTCTGAACACACTTGCTGCTATAAGGGTGACCATGCTGCTCCTCCATGGGTGCAGTACGGGTAGTGAATGTTGTCACCCGAGGAAAATATGTACCGTGAGTGCGTTATTTATTACTGACTTGTGGTGCAGTGTGAAGGAAAGGGTTACTCATATCTACGTTCACTTTGAAGGAGTTCCCTACTTTACCTATAGATCTTTTCGGTCTCGTCTGAAAGAAGAACTCTCCACATAACCGTATAAGTACACAAGTTAAAGAGGAACTGATTGTTGCAGGTCCCCTGGGCTCTTGAAATAATGTGCAAAAGACATACAACATATTTACATATTATGGCACACTTGCCTCCCAAAGTGCCCTCCTCCGAAACATAGAGAGGGGAATTTATCAAAAATGAAGCAGACAGAATCTGGAGCAGCTGGGCACGGCAACCAATCAGCTTCTTTTTCATTTTCAAATCTTTATGAAGTAAAATGAAAAGAGAAGCTGATTGGGCACCATGCACAGCTGCTCCAGTTTTTGTCTGGTCTAGTTTTGATAAATTCCCCCCAAGTATAGGCAGAGCCAGATCAACACCAAACCTCAAGAGCCCAAAGCGGCTGCCTTGCCTAAGGCCCCATTTTACCTTCGTCTAGGCCGGTGGTTGTCCACTACTGGACCATTGCCCATTACCAGGCCACAACCTCCATCCAACTGGGAGTTACTTCTGCTGTGACAGCTACTGTATACATTTTAAATACTTATATTTAATTCCCCTACTTTCATTGTATGAAACTTACTTTTGTTCTACCAAATTCCTTTTAGACGAACTAGATTTTAAGTACAGCTCCGCTCTAAACATTGGTTTGATGAAAAGAAATATTAAATGTGTCGCACTTTCTTTCAGAAATAGATTCAGAATTCACCTCTACTCCAGGAAGTCTACAGGAGGTCTTTATGAAAAGGAAGAAACATTTCATTGAAAATTCATCCAAAAGAATTCAGGCAATCAAGACAAAAGATAGAGTGGTGAACAAAACGCAGCTGAAGACTCAACCGAAGGAGAATCCTGTTAGCCAAGTGGAACAGCTGCCCAGTTTTGGTCAGTCTGAATCTGTACTGTTTTTTTTAACTTAAAGTATATCTAGAACCAAAACTTTATATTTTTAGTGGGGGGAGGAATGGGAACTCCTGTCTGTTTCTGTGTCGCTGCTGTGAACATTTTCCTTCACTTCTCCCCTGGAGACACGAAAGGATGTGGGGGCAAAGTCCTGCAAATGGAGGGGAAATTCCATAGAAGACATTTGTCACTGAAACAGTGTCCCCATTGGAAGATGTATCGCCTGTTCTTGTGTTGGTCATCCTGAGTTCTTATTTAAACTTCTGTGCAAATGTTTTCAATAGCTTTATCATTTTGGCTTTTCCATCACTTTTTGTTTTGGTGAGTGTGGTCACCAGGACAAATGGTGAGGATGAATATTCCTAACAAGGATTCCGATAGAACACCGTCAGGTTGTTATTGGTAACACTTCCACACTATATCCCCTCAAAAAAGTATTGACTTAAGATAAACTGTAGTTGGAACCTAGTGAGATGGCAATGTGGGAGCTGCCATTGCTGACTTGTTTTTGAGTGTCCGATCTGGGTCTAGCATCCTTCTTTCACTTTGCTGTCATAGGGTGACAACATTCGCTCACCATACTTTATGGAGGAGCAGCAATGTCACCCTAGGCTTCTGGTTTGTATTATGAATGACTTGTGTCATACCTATTGAGTCACTCAAGCAATGCACTGTATGAGGAGGAAGTGTAGTGTACACGGTGTGCCCACGCCCCGAAATTTTAACGGCTTGGTTCACTTTTGGAGCATAATTGATCAGTATGTAGTGAAGCCTTCTGTGAGGTCTAATTGGCACAAGCCCTATCTATTTTATTGTCCCGTCACTTACCCCCCTTCCTGACCACTGTGGAACGTTTTCTTGTCTTTTATTTTAAAATGACACCCAGCACATGGCCTTCTTGTATCCCATAATTCCGAGTTGGGCTGCAGCACAAAACTGTGACTGACATCACTAAGCACCGGGAGCAGAGATCTTCCTGACTCTGCCAACGTTCAGGTCATCCTGCTTTGTGCCAGACGGCCTGACCACGTACCAGTGGAAATATTTAGATTTTGTTTTTAAGACAACTAATCCATAGGATGGGCCTGGTCCATCGTTCAGCCACTGATTTCACAATTCTTGGAAATTGGTACATTTTGTGTAGGAGGTGTAGGTAAATAAAGAATGGTTCTCTCGCTGTGCTGTCCGTGTACTACCGTGTTTCCCCAAAAATGAGACACTGTCTTATATTTTTCTCCCCCCGAAAAAACACACTAGGTCTTATTTTCCGGGGCTGTCTTATTTCGGGGAGAAGGGGAGTGAAAAAATACTGTCACACAGTGTCACAGTACCTGCATGCTGCAGCTATCCTGGAGCTCTCCTCTCTGATGCCGTCCAGGGAGCCACCTCGTAGCATTGACCTCCAGTCAGAAGTTCCCTCACCGCACCTGACCTCACTCCGACCCCACTGGCCATGCCACGCTGTACCTGCTGGGAACTGTAGTTTTCAGCGGCAGCTTTCTATGTACCGTAAAAGCCAAGGCAGACAGGTGTGTGTGCGGGCGGGCGCTGAATGTTACTCTCGGGCCCCTGGCTGGCTGCTTGGATGAAGCAATACATGTGCGCCCGCTACCACCAAACTACTGTAGGTCTTATTTTCGGGGTAGGTCTTATATTACAAAAATCTCTGAAGATTGTGCTAGGTCTTACTTTTGGGGTAGGTCTTATTCTTGGAGAAACACTGTAGATGTAATGTAACTCTTTGGCTTAATAGTGTTATTTTAATTACAGACTCAGCACAGGGTGAAGGAAGCCAATTCAAGAAAGTGGTTGAAGTCAGAGTGAGCACTCCAGAGGGCAGGAAACTGTCTGAGATAGAGATGCACCAGCGTACTATACGGTAAGGAGATAACAGTCTGTTATAATAAAATGAGATGTGTACAAAGTTTTTTTTTCTTTTTTTTTTTTTTAAATAAAAATCAAATTGTTAAAAAGGAAAAAAAACTTCAGTGTATAGCTTCCAATCTTTAAAGGGTCAGTCCAGCTTAAGGGGATGGATAAATAGATTGATTATTTATCTGCATCTATCCATCTACATCTAGATAGATATTATGAGCCTGCTGTTGTCTGCAGTTCCACGGCTGACATTCTGATATTTTAATACTTGCGGTGCATCTGACTTGAAGTAGCTTGCAGCCAATTAAGTGTCAGAAACCGTATTGTTCAGGATCTGTTTAGACAGGACAGAGTCCTAAAACCCTGGAGTTTATATCTTTAAATTGCTCTATTAGCTTTAGGTTGTCTTTCCAAATCTCCACGGCTAACATGGCATAATGGGGGACCTATCTTTGAACTTGGTATCTTGTATTTCAGAGTGCATGGTTCTGTATGCCTGACCTCTGTGTCCTTTGAATAATGTACAAGTACCTTTTTTATACCCTTCTTCCACAGACTCCTCCCCTCACCTCTGTGTGACGGCTCCAACAAAGCTGCTTCTCTTTGGCGTTCTGTCTGTTGGCCGCACTCTGATGTCCTTATTCTAAATAGACTATCACTACCAATATATCCAATGATTAGATGCTGCTCGGTCTACATGCAGCTTATTCTGGAACACATAGTTTTCTTTGTATTTTCATTTGGGATACCACAGGGTTTATATGGTTACCTCAACATGATCCTCTCTTCTCTTGAATGCAGTCCCAACACGTGGACAAGGCAAAAAGCATGTTTGTGTGTTTTTATTGCGTCTGTGCGGACTGCAATGTGTCTCTAAAAAATAGGAGAAATACAACCTGCACTGCAATGCTGCAAAAATGTAGCGCATCACATAGTGCATGTCAATGATTATGTACAGTGATGTAAATGGACCCTCATTTTCCACAAACTTTCATTGTCTAAAACTTACATTTGTAACCCATGACAATCGCTGCCATTAAATAGTCAGATTGTGGCAGGTCCTAATGTGTTCAATCTTCATTTTTATAAGGTGTGCTAATAAAGAAGTGTTTTGGCGTTTCCTCCAGGTTATACAATCGGCTCGATGAAGTTAAAACCAGGAATGAAAAGAAGATAAGACAGGAGGCCTATGCCGTGAACCGCGAGAAGGCAAAAGAGTTCAAAAAGGTACAGAGACGATTTGTTGTCTATAGAAAACAAAAAGTGGTATAACCTATTTCCACTAATGCAGTTGGGAAACATTCATACTAAACACTGCTGCCCTATGGGAAACGTTCCTCCTCCTTCCTTCTCCTCCTCCTTCCTTCTCCTCCTCCTTCCTTCTCCTCCTCCTCCTTCCTTCTCCTCCTCCTCCCTCCTCCTCCTCCTCCTTCCTTCTCCTTCCTTCCTTCTCCTCCTCCTTCCTTCTTCTCCTCCTCCTTCCTTCTTCTCCTCCTCCTTCCTTCTTCTCCTCCTCCTCCTTCCTTCTTCTCCTCCTCCTCCTTCCTTCTTCTCCTCCTCCCTCCTCAATATGGGGCACAGATCTAAATTCTTGCCCAACTTCAGAGCCGCTTTGCTGTGCTACACAGTTTTTGCTTTACCTCTCACATTTGAAAGTCGAAGTTGACTGACCCAGTGAAGGAATTGCATTCTTTGTGGCTGACTCCACAGTTGTTGAACTGGATCTTCAGCCAAAACATTTTAAACTATTGGATGAGGGTTCGAACA